CATTTTAGTAGATCTAGGCCTGCGCAGGGAATTTTCATGGACATTTCTAGTAGCAGATGTCTCAAAAGCCATTTTAGGAGCTGATTTTCTCCAATATTATAAATTATTAGTAGACCTAGCAAACCAAAGGTTATTAAACGGAACTACAACCCTGTACTCAGGGACAAGCCGTCAAGCCAAAGAACCTACTCTTTTCACCTTAGATGTGAAATCTAAATATTATAAAATCCTCAGGGAATTCGTCGACGTGACAAAACCAACACCAAAAAAAGAAGGAATACATCAAGTCCAACATCATATAACCGTTAAAGGAGCCCCGATAGCGGAGAGGGCACGCCGCCTTCCGCCATTTAAATACAAAGCAGCCAAACAGGCAATCGAAGAAATGATGAAAGAAGGAATCTGTCAACCTTCATCCAGCAACTGGGCTTCACCCATCCATCTAGTTCCAAAAAAGGAAGGAGGATGGAGATTATGCGGTGATTATAGAAAGCTAAATGCAATCACGGTTCCGAATCGATATCCGTTACCCCACATACATGATTTTTCATACATGCTCCAAGGATGCAAAATATTTACTAAGCTCGACTTAAAGAGAGCATTTCATCAAGTCCCAATGGCCGCAGAGGACCAATCAAAAACAACAATAATAACTCCGTTCGGATTATACGAATTTAAAGTAATGCCATTCGGATTATGCAATGCTGCACAAACATTTCAGCGTCTAATCGACACAGCACTCAGAGGACTAAACTTTCGTCACGCATATATCGATGACATTCTTATAGCTTCAAAAGATGAAGAAACCCACGAAAAGCATTTAAAACAAGTATTAGAAAGACTACGTCAATACGGTCTGTCAATAAATTACTCCAAATGCATCTTCGCAGTCAAAGAAGTCGACTATATTCGATATCATATAGACTCCAACGGCACCAAACCCCTCGAAAATAGAATCGAGAGCATCAAAACATACAAACAACCGAAGACTATTTAGGATCTTCGACGATTTTTAGGCTTAATCAATTTTTATCGCCGTTTCATTAAAAACGCGGCCCAAACACAAGCGCCTCTCCAAACTTTCTTAATAAGTGCCAAGAAAAAAGACAAACGCATAATTCAGTGGAACGAAGAAACAACCCAAGCCTTTGAAGCCTGTAAACAACAACTAGTCAATGCAACACTACTAGTTCATCCAAAAGAAAATGCAACTCTAGCTCTACAAACCGACGCATCTGATACTTGTATGGGTGCAGTCTTGGAACAGCTAGACGACAACAATTGGAAACCCATAGGATTCTATTCTAAAAAACTTTCAGAAACACAAAGAAGTTATAGTACATATGATCGCGAACTTCTCGCAATTTACAGCGTATTAAAATATTTGTTGCATCTAATAGAAGGCCAACGCCTAATAGTTAAAACAGACCATAAACGATTAACATTTGCCTTTAAACAAAAAATGGACAAAGCGTCACAAGTCAGACATCTAGATTTCATAGGCCAATTTACTACAGAAATAATTTATATAGCTGGCCCAAATAATACAGTCGCGGACGCATTATCGCGAATTGAAACAGTCAACATGCCTGTCGTCATATCAACTGACGATCTAATCGAAGCACAAAATAGCGATGAAGAACTTCAAGAGCTTCTAAACTCCAACTCTTCATCACTGTGCCTAAAAAAATTACGTTTACAAAATACCGACAAGGATCTTTATTGCGACATATCAGGCAACGACGTAAGACCATACGTACCCTCAAGTTTAAGAAAATAAATATATAATACTGTCCATAATTTGGCACGCCCAGGAAATAAAACAACCCAAAAACTAATAAGCAGACGATTTGTCTGGCCAAAAATGCACAAAGACATTGCCACATGGGTTAAAACTTGCCTACCTTGTCAAAGAAGTAAAATACAACGTCATGTCAAAATGATTCCAGAGAAAATAGCCATTCCGGACGAAAGATTTCGTCACATCCACATCGATATCATTGGTCCATTACCACTAGTAAAAGGATTCAAATACTACCTCACAATTATAGAGCGATTTACACGCTGGCCTGAAGCAGTACCCAGTGCTGACATTTCAGCAGAAACCATAGTTAACGCTTTCTATTCAACATGGAACGCAAGATTTGGAGCACCATCAGTTATCACTACAGATAAAGGATCTCAATTTGAATCACAATTATTTCAAGCACTAGCAAAACTAATACGTGCAAAGAAAATTAATACAACAGCATATCATCCATGTGCCAATGGCATGGTAGAAAGGTGGCACCGTTCATTAAAAGCTGCCATTATGTGTCACGCCAACACTCAATGGATTGACACCCTACCCACAGTTCTTCTTGGACTGAGAACAAGTATCAAGGAGGATCTAAATACCTCCGCAGCAGAACTCGTTTATGGAACCTCATTGCGTCTCCCAGGTGAGTTCTTTATAGATGTGACACCTACTAATCAACCTCGCATCTTTTTAGAGAAACTACGATCCATAATGAGAAAAATACGACCCGCTCCAGTATCATCCTCATCATACAAAAGGAACAACATTTGTTCACGAAACATTATACGCATGTTCACACGTATTTATCCGTGTTGATGTGACCAGACGACCACTCGAAAATCCGTACGAGGGTCCATATGAAGTCTTAGAAAGGATTAACGACAGAGTCTTCAAAATAAACATAAAAGGAACTCCGACTACAGTCTCGATTGAGACTTGAACCGGCATTCACAGAAAAAGACGTTCCAGATACAACCGAACCGTCATCGAGCCACCAAAAAGACACTCCTCGCACATATTCAAAGACACAAAAACATGTCCGGTTTGCGCCCTGAAATTGCGGCGCTCAGGGGGGAATATTGTGGCGTCAGCACCTAGGATAATGGTACCGCATACACAGTTCAGGCAAACGCCGCAAGCGGCGCTCCGATAGAACAACGCGCAAACACAACTTAGTTCGCCGTGTAGTTAGATATACAGCACAAGAAGAAAAGAAGTCTAACGACGAATTACCGCAAAATGCGTGCTCTATTAAAGTTGTAACAAAAGAAAGTTTATATATGCCAAATGGGCTTAATATTGTGATAACGTCGATACAGTGTTTTATTCGTCATTAACAAAATAAATAATAGACGAACGAGTCGGGTAAAAATAATGCTAACACGCATGTGGCCGAGCGCGCCATAAAACAGTTTATTTCATCAGCTGATATAGCTTGTGTCATCGTCATATGAGTCATATGCAAATAATAGGGTTAGACGTCCAGATTGACGATTGGTGAATTGAAGATTGTTTCTGGTGCGTTGCGGCCAGAAATAAATATTTTTAAAAACAGTTGCAGTATGAAAATAGGGTTGGAACAACAATTCGAATTGTATTAATTACATTAATGTTATGACGATACGGACATACTAATGAGCACGTAATATTGTAATGATCTAATGAGATAGAGGTTAAGATCTAAGCTGTCACTTTACAGGTAAAACATTTCACGACAGAGAAAATTAAGAATCCTGTTTAACCATTTGACAAAATGTTATTTTTGATTAATTATGTTGTAATAATAAAATTTTGACTTGAATATTCAAACCGTAAGTAATTAAAAGTCTAGTTCTAATTAGAAACAGATAGTCGATAGATGTTAGCGCAATGTCAATCATGTATCGACTATTCAATATTGATAATACTGATAAAATAGTTATCCTAAATTCAATTTGTTTACACATTTACGAATGGCTTTACATTTCATTTTAAAGATTCAAAACCGCACGTAGAAGAGCAGCTGGTTGCAGTGTTTCAAAGGAAAATGTTCTTAATGTTTACTGAATTGGTGGAATGAAATACATAAAAAAGATTAAACAGGTTCGAGACTTTTGTCTATTAATTACTTTCATCATTGAAAATTATGTAAGATTTTCTGTTGACATTGTTCAGAAGGTTTGTAACCTTTAAACGATCGTTTTAACTCATACAGTAACTTTTGTATCTGCCGCAGAATGTAATGTGCTACTTTGCTCTTCTTACAGTTATCAAAACTAAAACAATGTGCAGGAACATCATGCGTTCGGCAACACATTCAAGGACAGGAGACATTAGAGAGTGTTGAGTGTTCAATAAGTGTTTGCAGTGTTTAAAGAGTGAATCCGTGTAATATTAGAAACCTGAAATTATATATAACGTTTTTTAATATTAAGAAAATTTAATTAAATTATTGTTAAAATACTTGTAAAATAAAAGCAAAGTGCTATTAACACTTAACAAAAATTAGACGTTATTTCAGATAAAGTTTCATAAACATCCCGATCAATAATAGAACACTCCGAATTCAATCTAACACTATATAAGCCTGGATAATCTGCCAAGCACGTGGTATCCTTGTATATTGTATTAATTATGGTAGCTGAAAGAAGAACGAAGTAATACACTGGATATAATGTTCCATTCCTGATATAAAAATTTCTATAAAAGTTGGGTCGTTCAATTTCAAGTTATAAGCTTTCTAACCGATGTCAACTGAATATTTATTTTTACACATGTATTTGTTTATTTTATTAGTTTCGAAAACGTAACATTTACCCAACAGTTATATAACAGTGTTCACTAGGGATGGGCATCAATATTAACTTTAGGTCAAGCTTGGGCTCAATAAACTTGTAAGATTTTGATGCAGTCTAAAAATTTGCTTAGTTTTAGGTAATGATAATAATCGGAGATACAGGTTAACGAATAGAGTGCATGCAAAAACTGGTCCTATAATATAGCATACATAATTCTGACCGTTATTGCTAATCCAGGGGGAAAAAAAAACAAAAAGATTCTTAATCGGTTAGAGCGTAGCAATCGTAGGTGCCAAATTTATAACAGAAAATTAAAAACGTATAAATTACAGCACATTGAAATTTGACTTTCAATTTTGTATCTTTTTCTTTTTACTTTTCTGTATGTTATTCTGTAAAAGTACAAAAATATAACACAATCATACCTGTTCCAGAACTGGAATGGAGTATGCTCCAGTCTTCCCGGTGCCGTTCTTTGCACGTGCCAAAATGTCTTTACCAGATAGCGCGATGGGAATACTAGCTTCCTGTATCGGCGATGGCTTTTCCCATCCTTTCTCGAAGATTCCCATTAACAATTCACGCTTCAAGCAAAATTCTTCAAACTCATTACCGCGCGTGTCTGTCACGTCCTGAAAAATTGTATCAAGGGTAAAACAACGATCATCCTTAGATTTATAATAACAATAACACATTCACCACCAAGAGTATTTTGATAAACTTTCCGTTTACGCCAATTACATTATATCGTATTAAGGTAATATGAAAGAAGGGCATAAATGGTCAGTTGCGCAGATAAAATGTTTTAAAAGTTGAATTAACCAATCCAGCTGAAATCTTAAGGTGATGTGAAAGTGGCGTCGAAGAGGTCTCGTTTGTGAAACTTTTCTCCGAACTGGGGGTAAGGAATCGTTTCAAACTTGACAATGTGAATATGGAAGCTATAAGGAAGGTCCTGACACCCATAAAATTTCAATTTTTGTATTGATATTTTCCAAATTTTGTATAAAAACTGAAATTTCATGAGCCTCAGGACCTTCCTTATAGCCTTCATGGCCTCGTTGTAAAGTTTGAAACGATTCGGTATACCTAATTCGTAGAGATGCTTCATAAACGATTGACATTTTGAATGCCGCTTTCACATCCCCTTAACACTAGAACTACCAAGACCAGTCACAATGGCTGGTTTCAAATGGCCCATCCTATACAAAAAAAAATTCGCCGGTAGTTCTAGTATTAAGATTATAAAAAATAATACTCTTGTAAATATACGTAAATGCTTGTTATACGTACATTAACACATTTATCGCGTGCCGGTCACCGGTGACCAACGTGGTGTAAAAGGAAAGCACATTTTCAATGAGGTACACTGGCATTCATCGATGGTTACCTCACGGACCTACTGCCCTCTCCGGCCGCGTGGTGTACTAGCGGTGGGAGAGCCGCTACGGTACGCACGGCCGGGGATGGCAGTAGGTTCGCCAGGTAACCATCGATGAATTGCAGTGTACACCGGTGACTGTCGGGCGTTGATCACGTTTAAGAGTGTTGATAAAAAACGAAGTTGTCAGTCACAATCACCGCTTCAAAATGGGTTGCCTTGAATTATTATAGAAATAAAGTTTTCAATAATAAGGTAAATGATTTAATAATTTAAGATAAAAAAATTCTAAAATGTCTGGCAATTGAAGTTTTTTTACGCACAATCAGCAACATCTATTTATTTTTCTATTTAAAATATTCAAACGTAAAAATGTAATACAACTAAACATTCTATAACCAACTGTTTGTTTAATAAGTAATACATGAAATGCTTGTTAAAAATGACTCTGGTAATGTTTTGATGACAAAGTTAAATGATTTTGGGCGACGTTCCGTAAAGCGCATACCTCCTGTTAATTTGAAACTTCATGTATTTATGTACCTTGACCCACAGATGACGAATATGACAATGGAAATGGGCGCAAATATTATCTTCAAGGTGGAAGTGATTGTTAATATTTATTTTTATAAAAGTTTCAGATAAATGTTGCAGCCATCGGAAAAATACATCTTTTATGTTGTATGCATTTTGTTTCCGATTACTAGGAAACGATAACTTTTTGAAAAAAAATGAGATAAATTCATGAAATACAAAAGAAATTCATATAACCGAAACTACCCCGATCATTTTATGCGTAGCTGGGCCATGAAAATATATAAACTAATCTAACCTGACACTTTCACCCTCTCGTTCTCCCGTATTTACCACATAAAGATCTCCCACAGTGACGCATAAGATGATGGGGACAATTTAGGTTACTTATATAAAGTAATTTTTAATTTCCGGAATTTCTCATTTTTCTCGAATATTAATCGTTTTAGAACAAAATGTATACAACATAAAAGATGTATTTTTCCGAGGGCTACAACTTTTACCTGAAGCTTTTCTCTCTCAAACATTTACTAATCGCAACAATGTGAAAATAAAAAAAAATTATGAACAATCATTTTCACCTTGATAACATTTGTACCAATTTTCACTATTATATTCATAAGCAGCGGGTTAAAGTACATGGGTATACGAAACTTTAAACTTATAAGAGGTATGCGCTTTCCGGAACTTTATCCATAATTTTAGAATCTCTATTACCATCTGAAACAACTTTTTTTTCGTGCTACTTTTTCTCAGAATTGAAATAATATACTTAAGCACACTATTATCTCCTCAAAAGACACCTTGTAGACACCTTGTAGATGTAAAAAAAACTCTCCAAATACATTCTTGTTTCTTTCTTGAATTGCAAAAATAATTCAAACCGATTTTCTTAATAGCAAATGGATATCAACTATTTTTGCCAAATATGTTAGTACTTTCATTTTATCAAATATTTAAATCAGGTACTATTGCCAAATTATTGTACATTTTGTTCCACATAATACAAGCACATCTATTCTAAAAATTACATCACTTAAAGTCATGTGTCTACGAAAATCTACAGCTTTCTAATTTCATCTAACCGGATAAAACTTAAAACTAAATCTGAACAAATAAAAAAAATTAAAAAATCAATTTGAAAACATTTTATTTTGCGAGCACCCGAAGTGTACTCAGTGGAGTTCTCGTCAATATTTCAGTGCCCGCCAAATAAGATGTTGTTTTCAAATTGAGTTTAATTTTTTTTATTTGATCAGATTTAGTTGTAAGTTTTATTTGGTTAGATGAAAATAGAAAACTGTAGATTTTCATAGACACATGATTTTAAGTGATATGATTTTTAGAATAGATGTGCTTGTATTATGTGGAACAAAACGTACAATAATTTGGCAATAATATCTGATTTAAATATTTGATAAAATGAAAGTATTAACATAATTGGCAAAAATAGTTGATTTCCATTTGTTATTAAAAAAACGGTTTGAGTTATTTATGCAATTCAAGAAAGAAACAAAAATGCATTTGGCGAAGTTTTTTTACACCTAATTACTTAAATTCGAAAATAAACATTTTTCTTAATTAAATAGACAGAATTTAATATTTGTAGAGAACATGTCTAAATACTACTTCTGCCTTTTCTTTGATATAACATATTAACTGTAATTTTGTTAAATAAGAAGGGTACACTAAAACATTTTCATCTATCATTCACTTTGAAGCTTCCAGTGATCAACAAAATACACACAATACTCACACTAGTTTTTATACGTTTGTCCTTGGGTGGAATTCTAAGTTTGGCTTTCCAGCCTACATCGTCCAACTTCTCTAGTTCAGCTTTTGCATTCAAACCAGAATTTAGCATATGGTTTGCGTTTATATGCGTTTCGGTCATCATTTTGCAAGGAATTCAGTGTTTCTACTTCCTGTAAAAAGAAAAATATTAAAATATTCAGTCACTGTGTATTCAATAACTAGAAGGCTAATAAATTTCAAATCTCATTTGAGAATTCACTTGATCAAGGGAACTCCTATTTGATTCAAACACTAATTTTCATTTTAGTATGAATCGTGACATCTCTAACTTAAGGTGATGTGAAACCTGCCTCAAATCAGTCGATTCGAATAAGACACTTTTCATTAAGGGTATTGGACAGAACTGTCTGAAACTTTGAGACACGACTCGTGAGCACTTAGTAATTATCCTGACACTTTCAAAATTAGGACTTTTGAAAGAAAAATTGTTAACTTAGCCCAGACCAGAACCAAAAGGTAATACGAATAGTAGAGTAATAAAACCAGGTAATACCAGTCAAAGAATTCAGTCTCTAAAGAAGCCCAAAAGGATTCGGACGATTTATGCTCGATAAATAGTACGTTGACCAACCGATGGCAGCGCCATAATCAGCTTTCTATCTCTCTTAATCCTATAGCAATAATATAGCGAATTGCATTCTTTCTTTATCTTACACACAGTACTCGCCTTTCTGTATGCGTCTCTCTTCCTCCCGTATGTGAGATACCATTGGCTAACACATGCGATCTCTCTTTTCCCTCCACTCTTGGTTTGTTGGCCAACTTTTAGAGCATCAAGCGCTAACGTAGGATCTGGGCTTCTATGGGACTTCTGAATTTTTTGTACGAGTTCTCGGAGTAAAATTTAGTTGACATGGAAATCACAGATGGCACAAAGTGTCCCTCTGAAGTCAATTAGGGCCTCAGAGAAACCATGAATCCAGGGGATTTCCGGAATTTTGCTTCGATTTCTTTATAATTATTATACGAAAATGACATATGGACTATGCCATTTAATACAATACTCAATATAATTCGACACGACTGTCAATATAATAACGAACGTCGGAAACGTAGGTATTTAGAAAAACCCTTTTTACGGACGTCAATCAAGTTCCAAGATGTGTTTCACTTCACCTTAAGCTTTATATATTCCAGTGCATCATAGTCCAGCAGTTATACATTGTATTTTGAATACCTATAGAAATGTTGAATCTTTGTCTACAATTCCATACCGAATAGAACATATTCAATTGTAGTGAAAATAAAATAAATGGATGAATCACAAGCGATGAATCTTATTTGGTATGTCCCATCTTGAACTTCAATTGAGTACAGAACGAACATGAACTCTTTTCTCAACAATTTCAAAGAATAAAACAGTTTAAACTTCAAATGAGATCAAAAAGTTTAATCTATTGTCGTTTTGAATTTCGTAAACCGAAAATGCTTATATTTTCATCCATTCGTCATTAAGTCAAATATATTAAGACATGCGGTAGCCTCTCGAACAAGTTCAAGGCCATCATTTGATCCATAATACCCTACCACCAAAAAATGAAACAGACTGCAAAAATTATAAACTTTTAAAAACTGTTAAGAAATTTCAACTGTTTATACATCAGTTGAATTTGGGTAACATGACAGTCAACAAGTTTATCAGCTGATTCTGGTATGCAAATACATGTGCAACTAATTTGTTATTTATGCAACTTTATTGTTAAACAATTGTTCCAATGGTAACTTAAAAATGGCATAATCTATATGCATACTCATATATAAATGCATACGAATAGATTTGTAGATTCAAGTAGGGAATATCGAACAGTTGGTCAAATTGTACCACTACTATATTTAAAAAGATGCGTTGAAAAATAACCATTTTAACTGAAAAATTATGAAGCTAAACTTGCATCATTTGTTTGTACCTAACTATTTGGTGGTACTACATCGGTGAGTACTAGAGTCAGAGGCACATTATATTAGTTTGCTAATATGTTACTAATTTTACTGCTTTCACTTAAAACATATGAACTATATCAGGTAAGTTCAAACATTGCCACTAGTAACTGTCTAAAAGTTCATTTAATTTGCATGCAAATGTATGCATAATCTTTTGAATAGCCCCAAACAGAAGGATCAAATGTTATAAAACTAAAAACAACTTTCGGTCGGCAATATTGCACCACCATAGCTAGGTAATTGATCTTGGAGCAATTAATCCAACTGTGTTTATTAAATCAAAACTTTGGTCATCTAAATGCTTTTACCCTACAATAAAAATTACACTTTTTAGAAATAGCATCCAAAAGAAAGTATTTGGCATGATCATCCAAAGATATAAGAAAAGCCCTTAAAGTGTAAACAATGGTTTCATGAAAATTGTGCTAATGTAAAATCTACTAAACTCTACGTATCGATTTCTTTACAATAAAATATGATTTCTGTGAACAATTTTTTTTTTTCAAAATTTTACTTACATGTTAAAAATTTTGCTACCATTCCATTTTTCATATATGCTACAATTATGTGAACATATCATAATAGAAAACTATAATTTAACTATCCAGTGGTACAATTTATCAGATGCACTATTTATATTGTATCATTGTAAAGAATATTTTATTTGAATGTCTTCTGTGTTAAATAGTATCTATGTACTTTTAAGTGTGTACATTAGATGCAGAATTTTAGATGAATGAAATATGATTCGTCTGCTAAAATACCTTACCAAAAACATTTTTATTGGCACTATTGTAAATCTGATACAATTTACCCAACATCCACAAGGAAAATATATATTACACAGCCATGATCCACAATGCGCTTGCAAAGAATTCATAAGTCCTATAGAAGCCTTCTTAATCCTATGTTAGTGCTCGATGCTTTAATGCCTGGTTCCACCAACCTCAGTTAAATCATTTATTACCTAACAATAGGTTAAAGTTAATGCTCAAGTTATTCATGGGTTAAAAACGTAAATGTTTCACCACATTTATATAGAGCGTGATTAACTAATCATATACACCATTCGAAGTAAATTGAATTGTTCGTGAAAGCGTCACGTGATTGGCTGATACTACGATCAATTTGAAAGTAAGATAGATGCACCCTTATCGAAACACAAAGTCCCACTAGCTTTATGCAAGAACTTATTTGACAGATATTAGCCTCAAGTAAAGTTCTTTGGTCAAGAATTATTACAAAATACTTTCAAGCAAACTTCGATCGTTAAGAAATTGTAAATAAAATCAAGGACGTCTTCATCCATTTCGTCAAAAGCTGTTAATACATACTCAGTCTAATCCATGTTTCCCTCATGTTTGTGCAGTTTTTAGGTTGAAGTTCGATTAACCAAAGCTAAACAATCAAATTTGGATGGTTAACACGTTGACTGCCATGCGCATTTTATTTGACTGGTACGTCACCCAATATGGGTGACATGGCAGTCAATGTGTTAATCTAAACAGCAGTTAATGGGAATTAACCTGCCATTAAAATGTGGTGAAATGTGCAACTCATTGTAACCAAGGATTACCTTTTTGACTGAGGTTGGTGGAACCGGGCATAAAAGTTAGCTAACAAACCAGGAGTGGAAATAAGAGAGAGATAGTACGTATTACCCAACGGTAGCTCACATATGAGGAAGAGATTTGTAGAAAAGTGAATACCATGTGTAAGATACAGAAAGAATGCAATCCGCTATATATCACTGTAAGATTAAGAGAGATGGAAAGATGATTAGCTGTAGCATCTGCTAGCTAATATATCATTTATCAGGTATTAAACGTACATATCCTTATGAGGTTCTATAGAGACTTGAATTCTTTGGCGCCGACCTGTATTTAAAGATTAACCTAAAACTTTATAACGAAAGTCCCATAGTGTTACATAATTCTTATCTTAATATAACATCAAGACAGTTTAAAGGTAGTAAATTGAGATGATTCAAAAAGAAAATCATGTATGTAAGCTATATCAAATTTAATATAATTTTTTTTTAAGTTTATGAAAATAAATTTGATACATTTACACACATCCAATATAAAATAAACGTCACCCCGTATACTTATATAAAACGGAATTAGTAACTTTCAATAAATGAAATTCTCAGGTACTGATGTTATACAATTTTGATATGAACATATTTTCTTTCTTGTGCCCATAATTAATTTATTTCTGGTTAATTCAATTTTTCTCATTTGCGCACTAATTTCTGTTAATCTTCCAGACAAATTTTTTCCTTAACTACAATACTTTTCAAAGACACTAATAAGGTACTTCAAAGCAAATCTATGACTACTTATAAAGATCTTCAATATTTTAATTGTTGTGCAAAAATATGCCCATGCGTCTAACGATGTCACATGTATATATCCCTGTTTACATTTTGACATAATTTGTCTTAACAAGCCAATATAAATATCAAAATATCGCCTATTACACTTGAGATATAATCAACAAAGATTCAAATTCCAAAACCAACTGAATAAAGGCAATAACATTCTGAACTATTATAATTTCTATGTATTAAAGTAGTTCATTCCTTTCTTTCATCTACAATTTCTAACTTAGCTTATGACCAGTTCCATTTGCTTTTGGTTTTTGTGTACTTCAAACTATCCCTCAAGTTGAAATGAGCAAAAAGTAATTGTTTTGGTCAGTCTTTGTAAAGGTACCTAGTTAAATATATGATTCTAAATTAACGATATTGTCATCTTAAATAATAGCTCCTGCACATCATTTCTTAATTCTATTATAAATTAGCAATAATTTTTTCATCATAAGTAAACAAAATTTAAATAAATATTTGATTTTGAATATAACGATCACTTGCAAAGATTGAAACAATTGTTTTAAATAACAAATTCTATTCCAAAATATAAAGTATACTTCATTTAATTCTTAAAAATAATTTAATAATTTGCATTAAACAATTGTATTACCTGGAACATAAATTTAAAGAATAATTATATTACAATAAACGAAATAAAGAAAAGCTTAAAAAATAAGAAGGAATTATAAGTTAAACATATTACTTAAAAAGTAAAAAATAATTACGTCAGGAAACTCGGTACGGTTTCACGGCAAATATATTAAAAGGCATGCGTGAATGGCACCAAATACTTAACGTCAAAGTTGGTAATTCAATTTGTGTAGTATCTTTATATTAAATGTTAATCAAAATGCAAGCCTATATTACTTTGTCGAAATTATAATCTTCATAACCCAGACGCAGAAAAATGACCAATAATTCAAAACGTTTTAACTGCTTTTGTAACTGCAAAGGATTTCATGAAGAATGAAGAAAAGCAGCAAATTGTACACAATAAAATGTGTACTTATGTCACAATTTTCAAGTATATAAATCAGTTTTGTTTCTTAGATTCTCTAGCAGTTTGGGAATTTGAGTCCACTTTATATGATCAAACCAAAAAAAATTTGGATAAGGTGTACACCAGATCATTTAATGACAGGTTCATTACTGGTAACGGCTGGCAAGAGACATCTTGAAAGTAAAATCTAATATGAAAGATCGTTACGTACGGGAACAATAGCACTTGCGGCGAATACCACGTCGATCGCTTTGTCTCCTTTAGCGGCAAAGGCAAGGCAAGGCCCGTGTCCTCTCCGTTTGTACGTTCACGATGAACTAAAAAAAGAAACGACACACTTGGTATTCGGTAGGACAGCCCAGTCGCCCCGAAATTACCGTGTCTTACCTTGAAACGGATGGATGTTGCTGCTGCCGAGCGTAGCGCTCAATCGGATAACGACAAGACACGGCAAAATGGCCGTCCCAGGGAATCAAACTTTTCGAATGTTTACGGTGTGTACTGTTCCCGGGCGTGCGTGTTTGTTGCCAACGTGGGCCTAAGTCGACCTTACACGACCGGAAAGAAAAACGGTTATCACAAAACCCCAGTAGGGACGCTTACTGGAGACCGACGGTTTCCCGATGAACGCACTGCGTCAAATGCGGAAACTATTATCACCGATTATCAGTGTCTCTTCTCTCGCAGTTGTATGCCACACGAAACACACTGGTTGAAATATGCGTACGGTGCGTATCACGAAACTAGTCGAATATAGAACTGAACTCGAAATCAAATCCAGAAGTAAACTGGCAAGCATAAATGGCTTCCTTGCGCCTAGCTATCACCACTGGCCAAATGTAGTACTAGAGTCGGGAATGGCGCAATATTTGAATTGCCATGAGCGGCAGAATGAATTTTTCAAAGAAAAAAAAATGTTTAGAGGCAAGAAAAATTTATGAAAATGAATAAAATATTATTCGTAAGTGTACGTAATCCACTTAATGTAGTTTTTGCTATATAATTACTTATCAAACTTCTTAAACATTTTCTAAGAATACGTCCTATCAACCGTTCACAGGTTTCTCAATGAAAATGGCGAATGTCTTCAGTTAAATACTTATTGAGTCCTCACTATTTCATGCATTCCCCTCTACTCGTTGCATCCCACTCTATTCGCTGCAAACCCGTAACCATCGTTCTTTTTGAAGGACAAAATGTAGAGCAGGTCAAAAATTTGAGAGCAAGCGAATGGAAATGAGGGCGTCTATTACACTGGACTCCATCGATGGTTTCCTCCTAGTCCGCACTGCCCTCTTCGACCGCGCAGCGTACTAGCGGCGGGAACAGCGCGGAATTCGAATCGCTCGAGGGGCAGAATGGACTTCCTAAAAAAATAAATATTTATAAACAAAAACAATTAATGAAAATTATTTTAGTATTATTGTGGAGCGTCCCTGACCCACCTAACGTAGTTTTTGTTAAATGATAATTTACAGAATTTTATAAAGAATATAATAGAACATGTTCTATTAAATGTTAACAAGCTTCTTAGCGATTCAATTGAACCGAAGTTAGAATATTATCTTAGCTTAACAGAAATAGTTTCTAAATATATATACAGTGAAATACTGTAGGAAAATTTACGATGTATCTACTATCGGACATAGAAACGAAATCGTGATTTCATGCCTCTTATATATTTACGTTCTACACCATTCTTCGTATTCCTCGAATAAATGGGCACCTGCAAATCATTAAATGAGCATGTAAATGAGCACCCGTAAACATAAGAAAGACTTTTCTTATCCGAGTTTTTTATAAACGCAAATCGGAGTAACTCTTAAGAATTGATTTCATTCGAAATAGGTATCCAAAACGTAAAACCCCAATTCCATTTCGTAATTGAAATAAGAACAATAAACTATTATGGATTTCCAATTTTAAATAGATTTTGAATCTATTTGCGTTTGAAATTAAATACTTCCAGAGAAATGAGAATATTAGAAAAGAGTCGATCAGAATGATACTTGTTCTATCGACTGAATGAACTCTCGAAAAAGTTAAACATCACGCGTAACTCGAAATAGCCACATTGGCAAAAACAGATGAGATTAAATTGTTTACATGCATTTTAAATACAAATACAAGTCATAAAATTACATGTCCGAAAAAGGCATAGACAACGAAGGGTTAACATTACGACTAGATGGCACAGTTAATTCGAGACGACATTTCTCGTGGAGGAATTGATCCTCCATTCCCTCTGATAATTACTCGATCGCGGTCGCTGCAAAATGACAATCCGCCTTGCGAGCCGCGGAAGGAAGGGGCGATAAGGCCCGAGGGTGAACGAGTCCGAGCGAGAACGCCATCGGGAGACATAAGATCCGCGAGAGAGCAAGGGTGTTCTGCGACACTAAACCAGCTCGTGATTGTCAATCAATCCCCGAGGGTCGGAAATCCTCGGGCTGGGGAAGACATGCTCGAATAGTGTTTTGCTGAAGGGGGAATTAACCGCCAGCAGCTGGTTTCGCGTTTTGACTGAAAATATTCCGGATTTTAGTAACACAATAGACTATATTTCCTTTACGGACAAGGGAAGATGCGTGATTTTACGACGTTGATCAGTTGAGTCGGCAACTGGTCTTTGCGCTTGCGTTGACTCGGCAACGAAATGATCAAGTTCTCAGTTGGCTCGGCAACTGGACTTTTTGGACATTGACTCGGCAACGTTTTTGAGATCCGATGTTGTCTCGGCAACTTTCGGTTGGAATCTGCTTTTTAAAAAATTCTTAAAAAGTATCCGAATGCATAGTTCTCCCTCCAACTCGGTGAAGGGAGGAAGTCAGACCTTGAGTCGAGCATTCTCATTGGCAGGGAAAAATTCCCGAAGGGTTTCCACCCTCGAAGGCACCCGCGAAACGGCCGGTCACGTAGGCCGCGGATTCCCGGAAAAAACCCTTGAGTGACGTCTGGTCGCCAGAAGCGGGCTTTGGAATTTTTAGAAAGTTAAAAAATCTGTTCGCCAGACGTCGTCTGGTACCTTCGGTGAAAACCCTCGAAAAGAAACCCTTTGAGATTGCTCGGACTCAAGTTTTATTGCCCCCCTTTCGAGGATGGCTCGGGTCCTTCGGTACGCGTGGGAAGGACCTCGAGTTTCCGTGGGCCTTGACTTGAGCGATTACAAAAGATTAAGTGTATACTAATAATTAACGCGGATGGACTATCGACGCTCCAAAGGAAGAACGACGTTCCGGAAGGAACGAGGCCGGGGCTGAAAGAGAATCTTCTTCGCCGGGTGAAAACATTGACAATAATCCGCTTATCGGGAAACCGACATTGAAACCCTCACAGCAGGGGGTGGGAGGCCCGAGACCGGAGTTTTGAGAGCGGTAGTGGAAGCCCGGGGCATATGCGACCCGTAGGAGCAAGGAAGAACGCCATGCCCCTCGAGTCACTAGTCGGCGGCCGAGCCGTGCCGGCCACGCCAGCGTGAAAGCGTTATCTGGTCAGGACTCGAAGCCCGGACGCATGAGTCTGTCTCTACTCTAAGAGAGGGTTAGAGCATCAAATAGGCCATCTTACTCGGACACATGGCCTCCAGGGCGGATACAGAGAGACACAAGTGTGCAGTCCACTTACCGCACCGGCCCTACGTCCACGTGCTACCACCGAGGCTGCGTGTCGACGGACTCGAACGCTTCCCAAATGACTCACCCCCATCCGTTCCTTTACCCACCATGAGTAACGTTCGTCAGAGAATTCATATAACGAAATAATATTAGCCATTTAAATTTATTTTGGGCTGTAGCGGGGCTATTCGACCGTCGCGAAATACGCTACAACTTGTTTGCATATAATATCATATTGCAAAACTGTCAATTCGTTCCGCAATATAAAATTATCTCTCCAATTATGGTTCAATCTTTTACTGTTGTAAGTTCAATGTGTTGATGTAATCAAATTTTAAAATTAACGAAAAATCCTGTGGTTTTCTCATTGATTCATAAACTTATTTTTTATATTATGGTTTTCCAGCGTTATTCGTTCAGTTTGTGCATACTTCAATGTTTTGACTATATTTTACAGTAATGTATTTGAGGTCAGGTTGAGAAAAATGAAACCATCAATTTTCTAGCAATTGTTTTCCTTTTCAGTATAATGGTCAGGGAGAATCGGGAAAAAATGGTTAGAAACTACGTTAAGCAGATTGGTCATCGAGTGTATAAAAATGACACCCACGAAATCTTTCAGACTGCACTCGAGTGAGAAAAACGGGACCAAATAACTTTGACAGATACTAAAGAAATTTATAAAGTTTTATATTGGCTGCGTATTTTTAAGGAGAATAAAATGTATTTTAAGACATTCACATACACTAGCATTTATGTTTTCTTTCATGAATATCTAGATTTATGTTGTTTCACTTCTGCGCGGGAAAAAAAATGAGTAAATTCAACTAATTTTCTGAGTTAAATATGGCGATCTCAATAAGCGAGTAGGTTCAACTTACATTTAGTGCAAAATCACATTTTGTAGTTGAATCAACTCCAAACTTGACTGAAACAAAATTGATAGCTCCAAATCTAAACTTAGTAAACTGGTTTATTGAGTTAGCCACATTTAACGAAGTAAATTAAATGAATTTACTCTCCTTTCTTTTCAGCTTACTAAGAAATACGAGAAAACATGTTTGATGAGGGTTGCATATGGTGTTCCTAATAGCAGATTATATTTTCTATTGGAACAAAAAAAAACTAAAATAAGCACAGTAAATAGAGGAAACACGATTGGAAATAAAATTGTGTATTTTCGAAGGAATTGACATTCTTGCAATATGATATTAGACGCAAAGAAGTCGTAGCGTATGTCGCGACTGCAGAACAGCCCCGCTACAGCCCAAAATAAATTTAAATGGCCAATATTATTTCGTTATATGAATTCTCTGACGAACGTTACACATGGTGGGTAAAGGGGCGGATGGGGGTGAGTCATTTGGAAAGCGTTCGAGTCCGACGACACGCAGCCTCGGTGGTAGCACGTGGACGTAGGGCCGGTGCGGTAAGTGGACTGCATACTTGTGTCTCTCTGTATCCGCCCTGGAGGCCGTGTGTCCGAGTAAGATGGCCTATTTGATGCTCTAACCCTCTCTTAGAGTAGAGACAGACTTATGCGTCCGGGCTTCGAGTCCTGACCAGATAACGCTTTCGCACTGGCGTGGCCGGCACGGCTCGGCCGCCGACTAGTGGCTCGAGGGGCGTGGCGGTTGCTCCTACGGGTTGCATAGGCCCCGGGTTTCCACTACCGTTCTCAAGACTCCGGTCTCGGGCCTCCCACCTCCTGCTGTGAGGGTATCAATGTCGTTTTCCCGGTAAGCGGATTATTGTCCATGTTTTCACGTCGGCGGAGAAGATTCTCATTCAGCCCCGGCCTACGGCCTCGTTTCTTCCGGATCGTCGTTCTCCCTTGCCCTCTCGCGGGTCTTATGGCCCCCAACGGCGTTCTCTCTTGCTCTCTCGCGGGTCTTATGTCTCCCGATGACGTTCTCGCTCGGACTCGTTCACCCGCAGGCCTTATCGCCCCTTCCTTCCAGGGCTCGCAAGATGGATTGTCATTTTGCGACGACCGCGATCAAGTAATTAACAGAGGAAAAGGAGGATCGATTCCTTAGCGAGAACTGTCGTCCCGAATAAACTATGCTTTCTACACGTAACTTTAACCTTTCGTCGTCCCTATTTTATTAAGACATGCAAATTTAAAAACCATGTGGAAACTGAAAAATGATGAAATTTCAGAGTTCCGTGGTTTAAAATAAAACAAATTGACGACATTGACATTAAAGCAAAATGATGTAAAGAGAAATTCTGCAAAAAACGTAAACTGAAATAAGCACAGTAAATAGAGGAAACACGATTGGAAATAAAGTTGTCTAAAATTTCCGAAGGAATTGACATTCTTGCAATATGATATTATACGCAAACCAGTTGTAGCATGTTTTGCGACGGTCGAATAGTCCGGTTACAGCCCAAAGTAAATTTAAATGGCGAATATTTAGTTATATGAATTTTCTGATAAACGTGACACGTGGAGGGAGAAGGGAAGGAGAAGACCAAAAATAAATTTCCGGTCGTCGGGGTCGGCTCGGCTCGGCCGCCCGCTCGAGGCTCGAGGGTCCTAGACGTGGCGTTCTCTCTTACTCCTACGGGTCGCATAGGCACCGGGCTTTCTCTACCGCTCTTAAAACTCCTGTCTCGGGCCTTCCACTCCCTGTTGTGAGGGGCTCAGTATCGGCTCCCGATAATCGGATTAGCATCGATGTCTACACTCTGGCAAGGAAGACACTCTCTCTCTACCCCGGGGTGCGGTCTCGTTCCGTCCTGAGCGGCGTTCTCTGTTGCTCTCTCACGGATCTTATGCCTCCCGACGGCGTTCTCGCTTGCCGTCGTTCACCCTCGGGCCTTATCGCTCCTTCCTTCCGCGGCTCGCAAGGCGGATTGTCATTTTGCAGCGACCACGATCAAGTAATTAACAGAGGGAATGGAGGATCAATTCCTCCACGGGAAATGTCGTCTCGAATTAACTGTGCCATCTAGCCGTAATGTTAACCCTCCATTGTCCATCCCTTTTTCGGACACGTAATTTTATGACTTGAATTTGTATTTAAAATGCAAGTAAACAATTTAATCTCATCTGTTTTTGCCAATGTGGCTATTTCGAGTTACGCGTCATGTTTAACTTTTTCGAGAGTTGATTCAGTTGATAGAACATGTATCATTCTGATCGACTCTTTCCTAATATTCTCATTTCTCTGGAAGTATTTAATTTCAAACGCAAATAGATTCAAAATCTATTTAAAATTGGAAATCCATAATAGTTTATTGTTCTTATTTCAATAACGATATGGATTTGGGGTTTTACGTTTTGGATACCTATATCGAATGAAATCAATTCATAAGAGTTACTCCGATTTGCGTTTACAAAAAACTCGGATAAGAAAAGTCTTTCTTATGTTTACGGGTGCTCATTTACATGCTCATTTAATGATTTGCAGGTGCCCATTTATTCGAGGAATACGAAGAATGGTGTAGAACGTAAATATATAAGAGGCATGAAATCACGATTTCGTTTCTATGTCCGATAGTAGATACATCGTAAATTTTCCTACAGTATTTCACTGTATATATATTTAGAAACTATTTCTGTTAAGCTAAGATAATATTCTAACTTCGGTTCAGTGGATGGAACAACTGAATCGCTAAGAAACTTGTTAACATTTAATAGAACATGTTCTATTATATTCTCTATGAAATTCTGTAAATTATAATTTATCATAAACTGCGTTATGTGGGTCACGGACGCTCCACAATAATACCAAAATAATTTTCATTAATTGTTTTTGTTTATAAATATTTATTTTCTTTAGGAAATCCATTCTGCCCCTCGAATTCCGCGCTGCTCCCGTCGCTGGTACGTACGCTGCGCGGCCGGAGAGAGCAGTGCGGACCAGGAGGTAACCATCGATGGAGTCCAGTGTACAGGAAGCGATTGCTTGGCTTGACTGGACTTGACCGTGAGCAATCTTCCAAGTAACCAGGGGTGCGACATTCCTTATGGAAGGATTGTATCGCGGAAGTTAGTTCACCTACTCCAAGCAAAGACAGCGCTAGTGTCTGGACTTCTCATTCTAATAGAAAGAGAACAGAGGAAAAAATATTCTAACCAATAGCAAGAGACTCCAGGAGGCGCAGCGTAGATGCGCATGAAAATAGTCGGGACAAGTGAACCAAAGTCAACCTAACCTCGATTAGTGGCAATATTTTTACAACTTTCGATTACCTTGGGTATTAAATCGCGAACGTGAGTTTGTGAGTAAAAGTGTAAATCAAGAACAGTTTGTAGTTTCTTACTATAATAATTGTAATAATTAAATGGATTAAATGCAATCTATAGATCGCTTTTTGTGTGGAAAGGCCCCGGGTTTCCACTACCGTTCTCAAGACTCCGGTCTCGGGCCTCCCACCTCCTGCTGTGAGGGTATCAATGTCGTTTTCCCGGTAAGCGGATTATTGNTTAATTGTTTTTGTCTATAAATATTTATTTTCTTTAGGAAATCCATCATGCCCCTCGAGCGATTCGAATTCCGCGCTGCTCCCGCCGCTAGTACGCTGCGCGGCCGGAGAGGGCAGTGTGGACCAGGAGGAACCCATCGATGGAGTCCTGTGTACAATCAGAGATGACAACAGAGATGAGTTGGGCGATTGCTCACGTGTAGGGTCGCGCGATCGCATCGTGTGCTGCCCTCTGGTGTTGTACGTGAGTTTTCACCGTTTTTGCCCCCAAGGTCGGCGTAACGAATTTCTGGTAAGGGCTCGCGCACTCGCGATGACGGTGCCATCTACCACTCGCCGCTGGCGGCTCACGTACTCGTGATGGTAATACCATGCGACAGTTGACGGTGATGGCTTACCTACGCTTATCAACACTGCTCACATTTGATGATAAGGGAAGAACACTCGTGGCGCCCTTTTTGACTTTACCCTTCACTTACCTCATTTATTTCATCCGCAAGTGATACAGGCAAAATTACAACGTAGGTGCTCCAGAGTTAAGATATACTGCAGATACAATTATTATAAGCTCGGAAATTAATACAAAAAATTATGAACGTTCCGTAGGGAACACATAAAACCTAGATAGAAGGATATACCCAACAACATAGTTCGACGTAGTCGGTATGACGTCAGGTGTAACGTACGTGTCGCAAGATCAAATCCTGACGGACGGGAAGGGTGGGTACGGTTTTTTACATACATTTTTTTCGGCACATTTTACAGTTGATAGCAATCGCACGAAACACATTACAGTTATGTAATTTTTTATTATGAGTTCAGTTTTTCATTATTTCGGCCCACCGTCCATAAGGTGACTTTGTTAAGTAATGTGAAATTAATTAAAATCGTACCGCAAGATAACAGTATCAATCATTCTTATCGTTAGTATTATTATTATTTATTTACTCATGTGTGGTAGGTGAAATTAACGAAGGCGAATCTACTATTGACAAGTCTATATTTTCGTAGATTCACATATTATTAATCGTTAAAAATTATATATGTAAGCCTCGTGTAGAAATTGGTCCAACTGTTCCCTTCTATGATGAGACGACCAAGTGCCATCCCGTCCACTGTTCGCAGGGACTGTCTTGGTCTAGCCGTATCAATTGTTTAGGCCATGCTCATATCTTCTAAACATGCTCGCCTTTCCTCGCCCATGATTCTGGGAATAGGTCCGCCCATGGACCTCCAATACTTGCGCCTTGCCTCTTCGAAATATTTCCTTCACATGTTGCTACCGTTATCTCATTCATTGCAAAAATTTAAATTATAATATTTATTTTGAGAATGAATTAATGAGCTCGGATGATAAAATCCTTCAATTGAAATATTTGTCCCCTACATTGGTAATTTTATTGTAAAACATTTGTCCCGAAATATTCCGGCTCACGGTCAAACGATGGTAATTAGCAAAATTTCAATACATCGGTAAACACCGAATACGCGAGTCGTGAATGACGTGGATCGCACGAGTCGGCGAAAGATGAAAACAATGAGATTAAAGTACATTGTTGTTTAGAAGCGACGAGCGCGGAGCATCGGGCACGCCCTGGTGTCACGTACGGAACTCACATGCAGCGAATCTGTGTGAGTGCGATTGCTTCTAAAAATCTTCGCGCGTCCCGGCCAGCCAAGCGCCAAGCTACAGGTCGAAACGTTGAGTGTGTGTGCGTCGACGCCCACTCATGGCGAGTGTGCGTGAGAGCCGGTATTCCATTTGGTTCTATTTCTTGACAATGGACCAAATTTATTTTATTGGTAGTTAAACAAATTGTGAACTATCAATAAATAAACATCGTTTATGGCATCAATTTCATGTCAAACATTTTCAAATTTCTCACCATTAGGAAGCATTCTTTTCGTAAATTAGTATAAATTGAGACCGTACACGTCTTTCATAATTTTCTCTAATTACATCTTCAAGTTGTACAGGCACCAGAAACCGTTGAGATCAGTTGAGAGATATTCAGAAACAGAGATATAGTTGAGTGTTAATTAATTTTATACGTACACATTTTGAAGTCGTTTTCAAACTCTTGATATGGCATCTCACAAATCGATAAAGACACACATAAAAATCAGGTAAGATGCCTTTTTTGGAACTTATTATTAATTGACGGACGTAAAGAATCGTCGGATTTGACGGGCTTAAGCATGATTTTATAAACTGTAAATAAGTTTTGGCCTTCGTTCATTACACAAAGAGGCATACAGATAGGCTGGGCTTTTCAGAATTATATGATGTGAATTTTGAATAACTTTTTTTTATAGTTGACAGACGCAGACTGTGATTTCATTAATGGGATCTGCTGATGTGCCTGCGGAAATTGTTCGTTTGCAAGAAATAAATAAAATTCATCAAATTGAAAATGCAAGATTAAGAGCGCATATCGATAGTGGATCAATTCAACAACTTACAGCTACAGATGAAAATGAAGTAGAGTTAACACAAATGACAGAGACGAATTCGCCATCAGAAGAACGAATAGCAAAAATATGAATGGGATGTTCATGTAAGGGATATTGTCAAAGCAAACAATGTGGTTGTGTGAAAAAAAATTCTTCATGTAACGATTCCTGCAAGTGTAACAAATCTGCATGTCACAATCAAGTAAGTGTTAATTGGTATTTTAAGATATAATTGTAAGTTTGTCTATATATTTTCTTTGTTTTCAGAATGATACACAAAATGTAAATCTTGTGAAGAAACGTACAAAGTCTCAAATTTCGAAATCCGTAGAACGGCCTCTTAATGAACAAATAAATAATAAAAATGCTGAGCACTTATATAGCCCGAATAGTCTAGAAAATATGTTTGATAAGTTCAGTGATTTAGATTTTAAGAATATAACTATTAAGATTAATGTTGAAAGTCCGAGTTCTTCAGATTCGGATAATGTTTTTACTCCAAACAAAGACCTAAATAAAGAAAATGAGTTTCATGTGCAAACTAAAGGAGTAGGTGTCCAAACAAGACGTCGGGGTAAAATGCTCAGTGTGCCTTCGGAAGATAAAAGACAGGTACGAAGCTCTTTAAATACTTTTGATTTCTTCCTTTGATCATTCTGAAAACAAAGAAAATATATAGACAAACTTACAATTATATCTTAAAATCCCAATTAACACTTACTTGATTGTGACATGCAGATTTGTTACACTTGCAGGAATCGTTACATGAAGAATTTTTTTTCACACAACCACATTGTTTGCTTTGACAATATCCCTTACATGAACATCCTATTCATATTTTTGCTATTCGTTCTTCTGATGGCGAATTCGTCTCTGTCATTTGTGTTAACTCTACTTCATTTTCATCTGTAGCTGTAAGTTGTTGAATTGATCCACTATTGATATGCGCTCTTAATCTTGCATTTTCAATTTGAAGAATTTTATTTATTTCTTGCAAACGAACAATTTCCGCAGGCACATCAGCAGATCCCATTAATGAAATCACAGTCTGCGTCTGTCAACTATAAAGAAAAGTTATTCAAAATTCACATCATTTAATTCTGAAAAGCCCAGCCTATCTGTATGCCTCTTTGTGTAATGGACGAAGGCCAAAACTTACATATAGTTTATAAAATCATGCTCAAGCCCGTCAAATCCGACGATTCTTTACGTCCGTCAATTAATAATAAGTTCCAAAAAAGGCATCTTACCTGACTTTTCTGTGTTTCTTTATCGATTTGTTAGATGCCATATCAAGAGTTCGAAAACGACCTCAAAAAGTGTACGTATAAAATTAATTAACACTCAACTATATCTCTGTTTCTGAATATCTCTCAACTGATCTCAACGGTTTCAAATTTAAATCTGAACCAACAGTTTGAACAGAGATGAGTTGGGAGATTGCTCACGGGCAGAGTCGCGCGATCGAATCGTGTGCTGCCCTCTGGTTTTGTACAAGAGCTTTCACCGTTATTGCCCCCAAGGGCGGCGCAACGAATTTCTGGTAGCGGCTCACGCACTCGCGATGGCGGTGCCATCTACCAGTTGGCGCTGGCGGCTCACATACTCGTGATGGTAATACCATGCGGCAGTTCACGGTGGTGGCTTACATACGCTTACCAACACTGCTCGCATTTGATGGTAAGGGAAGAACACTCGTGGCGTCCTTTTTGACTTTACCCTTCATTTACCTCATTTATTTCATCCGCAAATGATACAGGCAAAATTACAACGTGGATGCTCGAAAGTTGAGATATATTGTAGCAAGAACGCCATCGGGAGGCACAAGATCCGCAAGAGAGCAACGGAGAACGCCGCTCCGGATGGGACGGACTAGACCGCAGCCCGGGGTAGAGAGAGGGTCTTCCTCGCCGGCGTGTAGACATCGATACTAATCCGATTATAGGAAGCCACTACCGAGACCCTCACAACAGGGAGTGGAAGGCCCGAGACAGGAGTTTTAAGAGTGGTAGAGAAAGCCCGGTGCCTATGCGACCCGTAGGAGTAAGAGAGAACGCCACGTCTAGGACTCTCGAGCCCCGAGCCGGCGGCCGAGCCGAGCCGGCCCCAGCGACGGGAAACTTATTCTTGATCCTCTCCTTCCCTTTTCCCGCCACGTGTCACGTTTATCAGAAAATTCATATAACGAAATATTGGCCATTTAAATTTACTATGGGCTGTAGCGGGGCTGTTCGACCGTTGCGAAATACGATACAACTTGTTTGCATATAATATCATATTGCAAGAATGTCAATTCCTTCGAAAATATACAATTTTTGTGTTAATGCAGGAGATTGTGAACGGGTAAACAAATAAATTGAGGTGGCGAGTATGAATGATGATTAACTATTTATTGATTAATATTCGTAGATATAAAGCCGCACAACATGTGCTCCCCTTTCTTTGCTCGGGGTTCGAGACAGACTAAGTAGGCTGTCGTTCGGCTCGCTTCGGAACACGAGAGTTGCCGAAGTTATCCGAGTCGAGCTCGGCTCGAGTCGGAGTACAGTCGCTAACAGAAATGCGCTGAACTCAGTTATTCTTAATATTTTGTTCCAATCGTGTTTCCTCTATTTATTGTGCTTATTTTAGTTTACGGTTTTCGCAAAATTTCTCTTTCTATCATTTTGCTTTAATATCAATGCCGTCAACTTGTTTCATTATAACCACGGAACTCTGACATTTCATTATTTTTCAGTTTCCACATGGTTTATATATTTGTATGTATTAACAAAACAGGGACGACGAAAGGTTAAAGTTACGTGTAGATGGAATAGTTTATCGGGACGAGAGTTCTCGCTAAGGAATCGATCCTCCTTTCCCTCTGTCAATTACTTGATCGCGGTCGTCGCACAATGACAATCCACTTTGCGAGCCCTGGAAGGAAGGAGCGATAAGGCCTGCAGGTGAACGAGTCCAAGCGAGAACGCCATCGGGAGACATAAGACCCGCGAAAGAGCAAGAGAGAACGCCGCTGGGGGACATAAGACCCGCCAGAGAGCAAGGGAGAACGACTTTCCGGAAGTAACGAGGCCGTAGGCCGGGGCTGAAGGAGAATCTTCTTTGCCGGCGTGAAAACATTGACAGTAATACGCTTATCGGGAGACCGGCATTGAAACCCTTACAGCAGGGGATGGGAGGCCCGAGACCGGAGTCTTGAGAGCGGTAGTGGAAGCCCGGGGCCTATGCGACCCGTAAGAGCAAGCGAGAACGCCACGCCCCTCGAACCAATAGTCGGCGGCCCAGCCGTGCCGGCCAAGACAGCGGCAAAGCGTTATCCGGTCAGGCCTCGAAGCCCGGGCGTATAAGTCTGTCTCTACTTTAAAAGACGGTTAGAGCATCAAATAGGCCATCTCACTCGGACACACGACCTCCAGGGCGGATAGAGGGAGACACAAGTATGCGCAGTCCCCTTACCGCACCGGCACTACGACGACGTGCTACGGCCGAGGCCGAGTGTCAACGGACTCGAACGCTTCCCGAATGACTCACCCCCCTCCGCCCCCTTACCAAACATGTGTAACATTCGTCGGGGAATTCATATAACGAAATATAACGAAACATTTAAATTTACTTTGGGCTGTAGCGGGGCTGTTCGACCGTCGCGAAATACGCTTCAACTTGTTTGCATATAATATCGTATTGCAAGAATGTCAATTCCTTCGTAATATACAATTAAAGTAATATACAATTTTATTTCCAATCGTGTTTCCTCTATTTACTGTGCTTATTTGAGTTTACGTTTTTCGCAAAATTTCTCTTTGTATCATTTTGCTTTAATGTCAATGCCGTCAATTTGTTTTATTTTAAACCACGGAAATCTGAAAATTCATCATTTTTCAGTTTCCACATGGTTTATAAATTTGCATGTATTAATAAAACAGGGACGACGAAAGGTGAGTTACGTGTACACGGCATAGTTTATTCGGGACGACAGTTTTCGCTAAGGAATCGATCCTCCTTCCCCTTTGTCAATTACTTGATCGCAAAATGACGATACACCTTGCGAGCCCTGGAAGGAAGGGGCGATAAGGCCTGCGGGTAAACGAGGCCAAGCGAGAACGCCGTCGGGAGACATAAGACCCGCGCGAGAGCAAGGGCGAACGACGTTCTGGATGAAACGAGGCCGTAGCCCGGGGCAGAAAGAGAATCTTCTTTGTCGGCGTGAAAGCATTGACAACAATCTCCTTATCGGAAAACCGACGTTGATACCCTCACAGCAGGGGGTGGGAGGCCCGAGACCGGAGTCTTGAGAGCGGTAGTGGAAGCCCGGGGCCTATGCGACCCGTAGGAGCAAGCGAGAACGCCACGCCCCTCGAGCCAATAGTCGGCGGCCCAGCCGTGCCTGTCAAGCCAGCGGCAAAGCGTTATTCGGTCAGGCCTCGAAGCGCGGACGCATAAGTCTGTCTCTACTCTGAGAGACGGATAGAGGATCAAATATGCCATCTCACTCGGACACACGGCCTCCAGGGGGGATAGAGGGAGACACGAGTATGCGCAGTCCCCTTACAGCACCGGCCTACCGTCCGCGTGCTACCGCCGAGTTTTATATTGGCTGCTTATTATTAAGGAGAATAAAATGTATTTTAAGACATTCACATAGACTTGCATTTATGTTTTCTTTCATGAATTTCTAGATTTATGTTGTTTGACTTCTGCGCGGGAAAAAAAAATGAGTAAATTCAACTCATTTTCTGAGTTAACCCTTTGCGGTCGCATTTTCCCAAGATCAAGAGAATTTTGGTGGCTGAGAGTAGACATACGACCGCAAAGGGTTAAACATGGCGATCTCAATAAACGAGTTGGTTCAACTTACAGTTAGTGCAAAGTCACATTTTGTAGTTGAATCAACTCCAAACTTGTCTGAAACAGAATTGATAGCTCCAAATCTAAATAGAGTTAACTGGTTTATTGAGATCGCCACATTTAACGCAGTAAATTAAATGAATTTAATCTCTTTTTTTTTTCAGCTTACTAAAGAATACGAGAAAACTTATGTTTGATAAGGGTTGCATATGATGTTCCTAATAGCAGATTGTATTTTCTATTGGAAAAAAAAAAAAACTTGTTTCTTGAGTGTCGACCTAATATTTCTAATTTTTTGTATTTATTGACCCCTAACCTGGAGTCTATTGGGGCATCTACAGATAAAATGATATCAAAACTATGGTTCACCCAATAAATTGCTTCTTAATGGCATTCAAGGATATTTATCAGTTATCTAAAATTGAAACCAACTTGTTAAAAGAAATAAATAAATGTTACTAACGTAAATATCTCAAAATCGTACTGATTGACCCCGTGTGACGGTATTGCAGTTGTTAATATTTATAAAATTTATTCCTTTTTCGCCGATCAGCGCTGTTCTCGCCGTGTTCATCGACATGGTAAACAGTGAAAAGGTCCTACCGCCGTAAGGTAATAAAACCATTATACCCCTTCCGGGGTTTGTACGTCTTCACCCGCTTTTGAATGGCGGATTACAATGCAGGCCATTACCACCTGTGGGTAGTTAAAGTATTGGAAATTTCGTCCGGGAGCGAGTAGACTGCTTAATTGGTGGTTTTACCCTGTGACAAACCTTTTTCCGGGTAGAAGGGGTAACGAAGGTCTTCTGGAAGTGTATAAATATTTCATTAATAATGTGGTTTGTCGGAAACGCAGGAATTTTTCTTTATTTAAGGATATGCGATTGGGAAAGGAAGGTCGGTTTTTCTTTATTTATTTTTAATTGCATGAATGCTAGGTTGCTGCACGTAGAAATTATTTGCGGCCCTGAAAAGGGCCTTTTCGCCAGTCCTTAATATTCCGTCCAGAACCCGCCCCGGTCAACCACCTGATTTAATCGATTCGGAATCGAATCGATCATATTTGCGAAAAACTGCGGGTTACGCCGTAGCTCTCCCCAAACGTTTTTCGCGTGGTCGATCAACGCTGCCCTCGTCCTTTCCCTCGCCGGGACCCACAGTCGGGTCATCTCGGACCACACGTTCTCGATTATACTAAGATCCGGCGACCTAGCCGGCCACTGCACCAAATGGATTTCGGGGTGCTCCAAGAACCACGTCCGTACTTCATGTGAAGTATGGACTGCGGAATTATCCTGCACCAAGCGAATGATTGGCATGTCCTCCGCAGGATACATTGCCCGTATGCTTGGAAGAAGAACTTCTTCCAGGATACGGATGTATTCCGCGGAGTTCATGCTGGCAGAAATTTCCACCAATTCACCAGCTTGGTGTCCGCTAATCCACCCCCACATGCCGCACGATACCCGACCACTACGGTTGTGTGGGACGACGTATTTTGGATCCAGCCTGATTTGATATCCTTCGACCGAAATTATCTTTCGGGTGGTCCCGCAGAACATCAGGACCACCTTCTTGATACTTCCTGATCCAATGAAGTACCGTCGTTCTACTGCATGGGATTGTCTCGGCAATGTGGCGAACAGGTGCCCCGTACAGCCACATACCGACGATCATCCCGCTTATTCAGATCGCCATGTTTAACTCAGAAAATGAGTTAAATTTACTCATTTTTTTTTCCCGCACAGAAGTAAAACAACATAAATCTGGAAATTCATGAAAGAAAACACAAAAGCTAGTCTGTGAATGGCTTAAAATACATTTTATTCTCCTTAAAAATAAGCAGCCAATATAAAACTCGGCGGTAGCACGCGGACGGTAGGCCGATGCTATAAGGGGACTGCGCATACTCGTGTCTCCCTCTATCCGCCTTGGAGGCCGTGTGTCCGAGTGAGATGGCCTATTTGATGCTCTAACCGTCTCTTAGAGTAGAGACAGACTTATGCGTCCGGGCTTCGAGGCCTGACCGAATAACGCTTTGCCGCTGGCTTGACAGGCACGGCTGGGCCGCCGACTATTGGCTCAAGGGGCGTGGCGTTCTCGCTTGCTCCTACGGGTCGCATAGGCCCCGGGCTTCCACTTCCGTTCTCAAGACTCCGGTCTCCGGCCTCCCACCCCCTGCTGTGAGGGTATCAATGTCGGTTTCCCGATAAGTGGATTGCTGTCAATGCTTTCACGCCGACAAAGAAGATTCTCTTTCTGCCCCGGGCTACGGCCTCGTTTCTTCCGGAACGTCGTTCTCCCTTGCTCTCTCGCGGGTCTTATGTCTCCCGACGGCGTTCTCACTTGCACTCGTTTACCCGCAGGCCTTATCGCCCCTTCCTTCCAGGGCTCGCAAGGTGTATCGTCATTTTGCTACGGCTGAAAAATGATGAAATTTCAGAGTTCCGTGGTTTAAAATAAAACAAATTGACGGCATTGACATTAAAGCAAAATGATACAAAGAGAAATTTTGCGAAAAACGTAAACTAAAATAAGCACAGTATATAGAGGAAACACGATTGTAAATAAAATTGTATATTTTCGAAGNTAACAAAAACTACGTTAGGTGGGTCAGGGACGCTCCACAGTAATACTAAAATAATTTTCATTAATTGTTTTTGTTTATAAATATTTATTTTCTTTAGGAAATCCATTCTGCCCCTCGAGCGATTCGAATTCCGCGCTGCTCTCGCCGCTAGTACGCTGCGCGGCCGGAGAGGGCAGTGCGAACCAGGTGCAAGTCATCGATGGAGTCCAGTGTATATGGTAGTGTCACCCCCCTGCAAGTAACCTCTCGTATAGATTTGTTTTGTTTGGTGGCGCGGTTGTATTAAGACGATTAATCGGAATTGTACGAAATGGACTTGACAACTTTACTTAGAAAGTATGTGCAAGTTCGTGAAGGTTAGCTCGATTACTTCAGAAACCAATTATAATTTACGATTATGCTTTTGACGCTAAGATGTTCGTGTTGGAATTGTTATGGGTTTTGTTGCTTAAGAACTTTTATGCCGAGTTTATTTCGAAACTATGTAGCGTATATCAGTTTCATTGCCGAGCGGTATTTTGATAACAGATTAATAAGTAAAGTGTAAATTTGAGAAAATTATACAGTGCTTAACCAAAATTGGCATATCTGTTGTGTCTGTGAAAATATCTGAAAACTGTGAAAAAAAATGTAACATGATGTTATGTGTGGCCCAATGATACTTCAAACAAATTAGTAAGTTGACTGCTAATGGTCTTGATGCTTTTTTTGTAAAGACTATAAATGCAATAAGTACATTAAATTCATATAACTGACTGTACAGTTATGATATTAGTATGGTTAAAGGTCAGATGACGAGTATCAACCTTACTCATTCTATATTTGATATTTTGACAGCTTATGTGACATTAATATTTTCCAAATTCTTTGTGTGATAAAATTGAAACTGCATTATATCATCATTATGCTTGTAAAATATATAAGGCACACACTCTTCAGCCAGGGCATCCTAATAAATTGACGTTAACTTTGTTTACATGCAATTACATCGAACTAAGAAGCGCAATTACACTGCTTGACACTATTCATTACGATTTTTGCAGTGACGCCTCGCTTTCAAATAGTTGATAAATGTAGATTTTAATATAACTACAATTTGATTTTAAATTGAAGGAGGAAGCAATGCAGTAATGGATATAGAACAGTGCAAAATAATTAATACATCTTAATCTAAATTATAAATAAACCTATGAGATATGAAATGTTATTTCTCATATTTTTCTTATATTATGTGGTCATAACTTTTAGACCAACATATTACATTTAATGTATTTTAAAATTGCATTAGGATGAGGTAATAAAAAACCTTTTTTTCCTCGCAGAACATTAACTCAGATACTTGGGTTTAGTTGCTCTAGTTCATTTAATTTAAGAAAAATAATATTTGTTTCTTTTCATAGAAGGTAATTTATTCCTTCTGATAGTGCAGGTGACAAGTCACCTATCATTGCACATTAGCCATATCGTATGGGTGATTATAGTCATCCGTTAAAATTATGCATTAATTCACAGCTTTAGGTGAATTTATTGACATTGATTTTTTTTTTACTTTTTGATTTTTTTGATAATAGTGAACGTAGTCGTCACTGGGTCATATTGTAGTTATACCATCGATTAAAATATTCATAAGGCAGAAGCATACTGACAATGGGCATAGCTGAATTGAACGAGTTCAAGTGATTATGAGTACCATTCTAGAATTATTTATGTGTTGTTTGAATGGGCTGTAGGTATGAAATGAGGCAGAATTAATTTAAGAGCACAGTTTTGAGTGACAAGCTTTCTATTGCACGTAGTGACCTTCCTGAATTGTGCCTAGTAGGTATATTGGACCAGTTCTGATCACTTCCTGCATTGATATGTTACCGACACTTTGAGAGCCTTTGACAGTTCTCGTCCGTGCTATGCGACTGTCATCGATCTTAAGGTAATGTCATCAGGCTCCCAATTTCAGGACTAAGCGCATGATTTGAAAATTAATAGTTGTACCTTTAACGTTCTTTGTAAATTGTATATTTGTTTCCTTGTTTACCAGCTTGTTTACCATAGATGAATCACACCCTCAAAAGAATTAGCCAAAGTTTTAATTGAAAGGTGTTAATCATAGCCAGATAGATTATGAAGAACTACGTGAACGATGTGCGAATTTTTATAATTCAAATTACACTTAGGATGTGCAGGACCGCGATACTAGCCTGTGAAGTGGCAGTGATACCGACGCTTGACATCCTGCGGTATAAAAGGTTTTTTTGCAAATATGATAAAACATTGCAGAATAATATTCTTGTGTCTGTATGGTATTCAGCAATTCCATGGGAACGATACGTTTATGGTAATATTCCAAAAATCGCGCTAATTCCTCAAGCTCATCCATAAACCAATGTATACAATTGTCTTTGCGATTAATTTTAAATTTGTGTAACGACCCATTAAAGGTACATTGCAGGTAATATGCAGTACTGTATGGGATATGTTTTTGATATAGTATCATGTTTGTGGATTGAGAAATGTTGGCGACTGATTCTAACATGCATTTCTTGTTGGTGTACATAAGAAAAGGCACTGCTTCTTCGTATTTGTACTTTGTACATTTTTTAATTTTCTCTTTTTCGTTTGGTAAAATCACTGGATACTTATTCATATTTATGTAGTCAAGTTTATGTTTTTCAGAAGAATTCTTTGTTTTGAAATGACAGACGTCGATTGCACAATTTAGTATCGTGCTCATGTTTAGAAATCTGAGTATTTAGGAGTCACGATAGGCTTCGAATCCAAGCAAAATGATAAACTAAATTTTTTGAACAATACGCGTCATCATCATCATCATCATCAATTTCAGTTTCCACCATAAGCAGATAAATCATAGGTTTATCTGTGATTTGTTGACTTCAGTCAAATGAAACTATTCCACTATTTTGAATTCCACCGTTTGAATCATGTTCTATTTAGTAAACGTTGATTGCTAATCCATCTAATCTTTCAAATTAATATAATATCCTTTAAACTCATCGGAAAACACAAACCTTCATATTTTGACGTTAAGTAGAAATGTGAATACGAATTAACAGAGCTCATGTGACTAGTAGTTGGAAAAAGAGCCGATATTACGGCCCATAGAAAAAGTGGGTCATTGTTTCTAATGTTCACAACAGCTTTCCTATTTTGTATATCTTTTGAAAGCTCGACGTACGTGGATATGCCGCCACGTAATGGCACACATTTATTAATGTTTACTATTAAATTTATAATTTCGGTCATCGACGATCCCGACTCTCTCTCGGCAATTCGGGTTTAACACGTTCACGCCGGCGCGTACCACCGGTGGCTCGCGCTTGATTGCGCCATCGGGCGGCGCGTACCACCGGTGGCTCGCGCTTGATTGTGCCATCAGGCGGCGTGTACCACCGGTGGCTCGCGCTAGACGCATCATCGGGCGGCGTGTACTACCTGTGTTTCGCATTCGATTGTGCTATTAGACACTGATAATTTAACGTACATACATAAAAACGTGTATTTTGAATAAAAATTATAATTAATAACGTATTATGAACATAAATTTTGCTTAATAACACACACATAAAAATTCAGTATTATGAATGTAACTTCAACACTCAAATCTTCCCCCGAGGAACATTTCATAACGTTGCTGTTTACGTTAACAAAATCTTCGCCTGAAGAGGAAGAAAGTATTCGTAATCTTGATGCGTTTCTCCTGCCTCTATTTACACATTCATGAGACGAATCACTTATTTCCATATCCATGTTATGGGCAAAATTAAAAAAATATTTTTAAGGGCAAAATTTAAAAAAATATTCTAACCACCTTTTAGTTATTTTTACTAACAGAAATCTGTGGTTAGGATATAAAAAACGGCACGAGTCACATAATTTGCAAAGTAAGCGCTCAATGTAATACTGAAGAAACAAGAAGCGCGTGCAAGTCTGAACACGCGAGAAATGCGCGCCGCCAGATGAAGCGCGACATAGATTTGTGTGCCGCCGTTGGGGGAAACAAATGAAAATTGGCGCCGGCGGGAACGTGTTAACTAACGTTTCCAATCTGGTTCGATCCGGGACGCTTCGGGTCACTTTGGGTTCCGACCAGTCGATTAACACCGATTACATGTTTTTCTATTCTTACTTTATGTCCAGGTGACCCGCTGTTCTTTGGCTTACTTTAACTGGATTTAACCGCAATTAATTGAAATTAAACGACTTATGATCCGATCTGCATGCGCTCTCCGCGATAGCCGGCTCTTTAAGTGACGGCATTTTTATTCTAAACAAAAAATACAACGGCACAGTGTATTCTATATACATTTGTGCTTTAGCAGCTGACCAGTGCCAACTGACAACCGCTAAATTACAACCAGTTATATAGGCACCCTTTGTACCTTCGAATTTAGGGAGAACTACAGTAGTCCGGAAACCGGAAGATAGCCATGGGAATCCGAGTACAGGCACGCGATTAGGAAACACGCTTGCGAAAGAAGTCCGAAGTCTACCCGCCGCGAAAAGCTCATCGACCAAGCTGACTCCAGAAGTCATTGGTCGACTCAAGGCCGTCACCCTGATAACTCTGCAGTGCCTCAGAACGTCTCTACACCACTGCTATCACCTAGACCCTGGCAACCTCCACCAAAGAGAACACCCTACCCATAAAACCAACAAATTAACAGAGCTTGGGGTCTTTTGCCGTCCATTTTGCATTCTACGGTTAATTAACGATCCCGAGCTTGGAGCTCCTGGTTCTCGGTTCTGAGTTCTGAAAGAGTCAGAGACCGAAGCCGTCGAAACCCCTCTAAAGGGCACCTGTACCATGAGCCGCAGTAGTGCTATTCGGTACTCCTGCGATTCAAGCGCATCAAGCCAGGAAGGCACGGCAGCACTGTGATCTTCCTTGGACGGGAGGCTTCTAGAAGCCTCGTAACCCTAGGGCACGCAACGGGTTGAAAGTGTTCACGTGCATTCATACGGCTGCGTCAATCAAGGGAGAGACGTCACTGAAATTGGCCGCTGATAAGTCAGGTATAGGGCCTTCTGCAAGCTCGGGCCATCTTCATTTTCATTTTAACCTTTATATCACCACTCCCATCTCCGTTCGAATTGAACATTAAGGTGGAGTGAAGCTTCCCTCAAATCAGTCGATTCTAATAAGACACACTTTTTTAAGGGTGGTAGATCGAACGGTCCAAAACTTTGACACATGACTCGTGAGCACCTAAGAATTGTCCTGACACTTTTAAAATTTGGATTTTCGAAACAAATTTTATTGACTTAACTTACAAGGAAGGTACCTGAGGTGTCCCCCTCCGATTTTGTTCATTATTAAATATGTCATAGAAGACCAAAATCTAAGGGACCCGTGTTTTTTTTTATCGGCGGATAAACACTTTTAGGGGGTGAAATCAGGCTTCAAAGTTGGCCATGAAAGAGGGTGAGTTGGCTGTTTCATATAGAAGCACTCGACCGATTTTCATGAAACAACCGTCAAAATGTAGGGAATGAAGAATTATGAAACATGCATTTGGAATTTTTCGAAAAAATTCATTTTTAAGGGGTGAGCCACCCCTTTGAATACTTCTTTTACCCCTTACGCGAGCAGTAATTGCTCTATCCAAATGAAACTTGGTTAATTTATAGACCAGAACAATACAAAAAAAGTTTCATTTGGATAGAACAATTACTGCTCGCGTAAGGGGTAAAAGAAGTATTCAAAGGGGTGGCTCACCCCTTAAAAATGAATTTTTTCGAAAAATTCCAAATGCATGTTTCATAATTCTTCATTCCCTACATTTTGACGGTTGTTTCATGAAAATCGGTCGAGTGCTTCTATATGAAACAGCCAACTCACCCCCTTGCACGGCCAACTTTGAAGCCTGATTTCACCCCCTAAAAGTGTTTATCCGCCGATAAAAAAAAACACGGGTCCCTTAGATTTTAGTCCTCTATAACATATTTAAAAATGAACAAAATCGGAGGGGGACACCTCAGGTACCTTCCTTGTTAGACTAGAACCAAAATGACGTCAAGTTCGCATATTTCTATCGATATACAATTATTGAAGGCTCTGAAATGAAAAACGGAAGTGTCAGGTGACTTGTATAACGATTTAAAACACTTTAGTAATGGAGAAACTCACATGTAAACGGGATAAAGTCACAAAAAGTGTCCTACGTGCTTCTGTGCTAAAACGAAGATTACGCGAGTTCTCGGAGAGAAAATTTAGTTGAAATTAAATTCACAGAAGGCGCAGGGTGGCATTGTACAGTCAATTGGGGCAACAAAAACCATGAACCTGGGGATTTTTGGAGTTTGACCTCTATTTCTTTATAATTATTGTACGGAAACGATATATGGAGTATGCATGCCATTTAGTACAATACCCACTATAATTCGAAAAAGCTGTTAATACAAATACGAATGTCGGTAATGTAAGTATTTAGAAGAATCCATTTTTTCGCCATCGATCAAATTTCTGGACGTGTTTCATTTCACCTTAATTATCATTGCAAATTCCATGCCTATCTTCGGGTAATCAGATAGAATAAGAGTTTACAACCTCTCCGAACAGTTGAACCCGAAATCTCAGCATCACGAAACAGATTAGATACACACACAAGTCGCGATTTAAATAGCGAATAATCTCGGTGTCTGCACTTCCCGCGTTCAGCGATCTACCGCCGCCAAGCGCTTTATCGTAATACCCGAACCGAGCAACACGGAAGTAGAACAAACCCAAAGAAAGTAGACTAGGACACCTTAACTGTCCCACGCGACTTACTTGTACCGAGCCTTGACCGACAGACAAATTTAGATACTCTGTTATCACATTTCAGAACTGCCATTTATTGAGATTCTACTTAGGTCCTCACTCCCCGCAGATCCAACCAAAGGAGTTGATATAGCTGCCTAAGTCATCTCCGCATTTAAACAATAAATCTATTACGTAGGCGTTCGAGGTAAAATCACCTAAACTATACCGAATTTGCCCGGTCTAGTTATTCCCTTCGGTCGTTACGTAACAAGCGCAATGTGTAATGACTAAATTACAATTTTCAATTTACACCCTACCGTACCATGACTTCGTATCGGCCTTGCGGCCGACCGCACCTGGAGGGTGATCCTCCTTATCGGCCCCCCCATTGCTGGGGGGTTGCACTCCGTATCGGCCCCCCCATTGCTGGGGGGTTGCACTCCGTATCCCACCCAGCAACCCCACCGCGAAAGGGGCCCGAAGGCCCAGGACGGGCTGGAAAAACCCGAATGCTCCGGACCGATCGTTCAAACCCCGGGGAGGCGCTTGCCGGGACAGAGCCTCCGCGACGCACTCCCCGAAGGGAGGCCGCTTGACCCCACCCGTTGCCCGCGGGGAACCTCGAGGAGGTCCCTCCCCTGCACCCGCGTGGTGCGAGCATTCGTGCAAGGCGCCAGCTGAGACGTAATGCTCCAGCGTGGTTTAACGAGCTTTCCAGGCTAGGTCGGGTGGGAACACGATCCATCGGCCGAGTTGACCCGGCAAATATAGGATCGATTATCCCACCTATCGGCCCGTACTAGCTCGCCGGCTTTCTTATTACGGCCGGTAGGGCCGGCCCCCAACCCGCACCCGGATAAACCGAGGACACGGGACGGGTTACCCGGAGCACCTCCAGCCGTCCGGTCGAGAAGTATTCCCATGATGAGGGCCACCTTTCGCCGGTAACTCTAGGGGGAACAAGAGTGCGATCAAACTCCGCAGAGCGAGCATCTCTCATGGTTCCCCAGTAGCCATTTGCCGTTTCATTACGGATCCATAGGGATCCGCATCCAGCCCCACCACGAGGAGGTTTACGGATGGCTCTTGGGCGCGTGGGGGCCACCCCCCCCCCCCCCCCACGTCGTTGCCTTTTGGAGGCCACCCTACCGTACCACAGAGAATTTGAAAACCACAATCGAAGCCTTTAGACAATGTCAAAAATTGTCTACTTAGAATTTTCATGTATCTGTAAATAACGGCCATGTATTTACATTATATTTATCTAATGGTAAAGTACAAAATACTGGCTTTAAAATTACATAAATAAGGTGAGACAAATAAGTTGAATAAATAAGATGAAGGTAAAATGATAAGATGTATCTAGATAATGTTCAACACTTGTTATAATACTTTTTTTTTTTTTTACCGAGGCCGATTCAATTTTACGACGGGTTTCACTGTACCTTCATATTATGAATAATACCGCAGTTGAATTTCATAACGTAGTTGTTTTTACGTTACGATTGAACCCTTTAAATCTCTTTGTTTTCTCTCCCTTTTTCATTATTTTTTAAATGATCAATCCTAACTTCGCAATCATTACAGAAATAGTATTGGAAACACGAAAAGAGTCAGATGTAATGAAATGTGGGATATCTTTTGTGAGCAATATTTTATCACAAGTGAACTGTGAGAGTAATTACCAGACTACACTACCGAATCTATTGTATTCTGTACAGGAACCAATGAAAGAAGTAAACTTTGCAAAAATGTAATTCCACAGGCATACAGTTCTTCAGAGACATGTGCATTATTTTTAAAAAATATTGTCATTAGAAAGATGTGAAATCACGAAAGAAGCCTAGTATCGCCTGCTGGAAGTTAGTAAAACCAGAGTATTAGATTCTAAGCACAACCCCTCTATTTTTCTATTCAGTGAGTAGTAATTGAAATATGTATTCAATGGAATGAGTTATTTACAGTGTGTCGCCATGCATGTTACAATAAACGAAATCGCACATCAACATCGAACGTTGCCGGAACGTGCCGACTTGGCAACAACGTACTTCACGCGCCCGTTTCCCGCATTATGTAAAGCATCTTTAATTTTCAATAAATTAATTGACTCACTTTGTCAACCATTATAAAGTATCTTAAAGAGAACAATTACGACGTGAGTGTAACTTTCTGTTGAGAAATAATATTGTAGCTTTATAGCTTCAAGTCTAATAAGTTTTTCGACACTTTTCTTTGCACTTTTTTATTTTCATCAAATTCTATGTTATGACAAACTAAACAAAGACGTAGTATCTTCTGTAATATGAAGAGACACCACATTCAACAACGTTGTATAATTTTATTTGATTCGTTGCGTGGAACGTGGAATCTACAACTCGTTTGAACCCGAGAAACACAACTATGTTTATCATACGCGTACGAAAGTCATGCAGAGCTATGTTAAGGTGACTCAAACGTTTAAATGTTACGCAAAGGACAAGGCAAGGAGGGTACAAAACTAATTGGAACGTCTCGAAATCGGCTGAAAAATGTGTTATCTCTTGCCAATCACCGTACTAATTAATGTATATAGAGGGTGTAACCGAATTCGGAGTCACGGTTTAGACAGCGCTATCCTTGTTGAAAAAGAAGTCAAAAAGTCCTGTAATATTCTTCTCTACAGTGCATAATTTTTCTGTAACAACCAGTTGAAGCATTGCCAAACAATCGCGTTCTTCAACGGAAAATAGGAAACATAGTAGTGGACTTTTCAACTCCTTTTTCAACAAGGATAGCGCTGTCTAAACCGTGATTACAGGTTCTGTAACATCCTGCATACGATGGCGTAGATGAGCCCAAGCCGTCGAGACACCTTCAAACAATATCGACACACCAACCAAAAACTGCTTTGTGAGTGCGCATTAAAAATTAAAGATGCTTTACATTATGCGGGAAACGGGTGTGCGAAGTACGTTGTTGCCAAGTTGGCATGTTCAGGCGGCGTTTGATGTTGATGTGCGATTTCGTTTATTGTAACATGCATGGTGACGCGCTGAAAATAACTCATTCCATTGAATACATCTTTCAATTATTGCTCACTGAAAAGAAAAATGGATGGGTTGCACTTAGAACCTAGTATTCTGGTTTTACTAACTTCCAGCAGGAGATACTAGGCTTCTTTCGTGATTTCACAACTTTCTAATGACAATATTTTTTAATCTAAGGCACATGTTTCTGAAGAACTGTATGCCTGTGGAATTACATTTTTGCGAAGTAGAACGTACTAGAACATTTTTTTACACCTACGGTGTTGTTTTGGGGGTAATTTCACATCTTTTTGTAATAATATTGTTACAGCATTTGCTCGGCGCCAAGCACGCGGGAGGTCACGCGGCTGTTGGTATATTAGGCGCGAAACAGGAGGAGCAATGGGGGCGGGCAGCCGCATTTATTATTTTTATTGATATTTAATTAGTATTATTATTAATATTTTTTTGTTAAATTATTGTTAAAAACTGAAACATTAATTGATCTATTGTATTCTGTACAGGAGCCAATGAAAGAGGTAATATTACTGTGGAAGATAAATATTTTCAGAACATATACGAAAGGTGGAAGGGTACGAAAACGAGAAATACGGATTCTACTTATAAAGTGATTCCAAAATTTTATTTTAAGGTAAGTGACTGAATTAATAATAGTAGTATTGGTGCCACTATGGGTTCGTACGTAGCGTGACGTCACCGGCGCCGAGTCAGCCTGTGACGTCACGCCATGTCACGTACCCTCCACTCCTTTCATCTACTACAGTGCCGAGAGTGGTGGGGGTACGCTAGAGCGCGAGACGCGAAAGAGAGAGAGCCCCGCGTATCGCTGATAGCGACAGCGGCCATTCTAAATAGGCATGTGTGCTGTCAATAGCGAGGGCGGCCATTGAATGCCATGAATTCCTATAATGCAGCACAGATATCGCGACTACTGTTTTCGTGTAACGCGATTCTTCGTACAAATAACCAAATAAAACGCATTATGCGTGTGGTATGAAAATAAAACTCCCGTGTGATGTGGTGGTAGGCGCGGCTTCCCCGAAGGCGTGGAGGCGGAGGACGCGATGGTGGTCGGTGGCTCCGCGCGGGTCTCCATTTTCCCTTCGCTAGCAGGTGTTGAAGGAGTGCTGTTGATCGGAAAGAAAAATTAATCGTACACATGCGCAGCCACAGGCAGACAGACACACACGCGCGCGCGCGCGCGCGCAGACACACACACACATACACGTCGCTGTACTTACTGTTTATTCCAGCAACTGTTGGCGGAGAACCTCGCCCTCGTAGATCACCCCGTTGATGAGGAACCAGACGGAACCATCCGGTAGGATGACGTGACAGAGGCCCATGCTGTCCGGTACTAGGTTTAAGAGGGAGCCGTAGGCAGATCAGCTCCTCGCCTTCTAGCTGTAGCCAGCTAATCGGCGCCCACGCCGTAAGTGTGAGCGGCCATCTTTCCACGCCATCGGGGAAGCCGCGTACTTCAAACGTCTCTTCATGCTCCTCTTCCCCGGCGGGGATCAGCCGCGGCATCGCCGGTTCAACCTCCCATCCACCACCACCACCACCACCAAATAGCCCGATTTCTGGCTGTTCTTCTTCTCCTCTCTCGATTTACCTCCCACTTATGTGGCGCACCATCTGAATCTCTCGGAGCCATGGCTGCTGAACGTCTGGTCCTATCGTCGAACGGAAAGGACCATTGTGCATCCGTGCGTTTATCAAGCTCTAAGAAATGCTATCCCTATCGTGCACGCGCATCCAAACCATTTGAAGGATTGTGGAGGGTTGATAGAGCGGAGTCAGCAAACATTTCTTAATCTCCTCTATATTCGCGGAAGGAGGTGTTTAATTTGAAAGAAAATTAGCGAGCCACACCCGTGTCGTTTTCTGCGAATGTTTTGGAGAACCTATAGCTAACAATTTTGTATTTATTTAGTTTTTTAAGAACCTTAAAGAAATTGTCGAGTCTCATCGAGGTAAGCTAAGTATCGGTGATTAAAAGGTAATCTCCGAAATTGCGAGCCAAAGATACCGCTGCTAAGTTTCAATAGTCTACAGTACAGGGAAGCCGATATTACCCACGCATCGCTCGAAAACGATATAAAATTGTAACGATCGTTGCTAGATTGTAAAATGCGATGCTTTCGTTTTTTAAACACGTAGCGAGAAGGCCTCGCGTGCGAGCGCGCATCCATTCCGGTAGAGTTGCTGACACCAAACCTTGCTAGCTCATATGAAGATCACTCTAACAATATAGAAAACGCAAACGTTGATGCATCCTGTATCATCTTTCTAAGGATGCGCGAAAAGTTACTTCGTTCGTCGTTTCAAGACTACTTCGCGAGGGAGGGCATAGCGATCGTGGTCAACGATTTCTCGAAACTCTGTTCCGGCGAGGAACCGTTATTCGACGGCGCGAAATCCGTCGTGGTCCGAGATTGCGGAGTGCGGTACACCTTGCGTATTTTATATTACGAACAGCGTGGTCATTATCAACCCATCCTCAATATCACGGCGGCTGCGGGTAGTCGCGGCTTTTGCGTGCCCTGCAACAAGACGTTTAAATCGGAGAACGAGCACCGCTGCTCGAAAAAGTGCGACAAGTGCTTGAGCACACCCCTCTGCGAGAGTCTCGAGGCCGCGTTGAAATGTGCAGCGTGTTTACGGACGTTTCACGATGAGCTGTGTCTTGAGAATCACTGCCGGCCGGCCTCGTATGCGGTTCGAGGGCGTCGAATGACCGTCTGCGAAGCGATACGTCTGTGTCCGGTGTGTCTGAACGTAATACGCATCGCCAACGAGATCAAACGTCGCGAAACGCACGAATGCGGCTGGACGTTTTGTACAGCGTGTTACCGTAAACGCAAGAGAAGCCACCACTGCTACATGGCGCCATTGAAAACTCCCAAAACCGAGGAGATCACGCTCTTCATATTTTACGATTTCGAGACGCGGCAGACGACTCGAATGCCCGGTGGCGCGAGCGTGCGATTCCACACACCGACATTGTGCATCGCGCAGTTGTGTTGTCAGTGATGCATGTACAGCGCCGACTATATGAGCGCGCCGTGCTCGGGTTGCGGTGGGTGCGAGTACGTGATCACGCGAGACCCGGTGAAACAGCTGGTCAAGCTCGTGATCATGGACGTACAAACGTTTCGAAGTATCATCTGCATCGCGCACAATTCCAAGGGCTTCGACGCCCAATTAGTCCTACGCTACCTCGTCGAGGAGAAACACGCGAAACCGCCCACCGTGATTCTTAAAGGGACGAGCATAATTCTCAAGAACATCGGGCGAACGACGTTCATCGATAGTCTGAATTATTTTCACATGCCGATCGGCGCGCTTCCGAAAGCTTACGGATTGATGGGAAATACGTCGGTAAAGGGCGTCTTTCCTCATCTGTTCAATACACCGGAAAACGAGAAGTACATCTACACTGCGATGTCTTCAATCAAGATCGATTTTTGCTAAACGGTGTAGAGATACGTTTGCGTCTAGTGCGCAGCCGCGACTCGTTTTGTTTTATGGACCCGACGAACTCGTTTAAAGTACACATCCTAGTGGCGTCTCTGCTCGTGCGCCGAGTAAACGTAAACCCCGGAATACTGTTGTCTCACGAGCGCGCGCTGGCTAAAACCACAGCGAAGTACCCGCTCACACGTGTAGAGGTGAAGGTCATGTTGATGCACGCCGGTTTGCACGGCGAGACACTGGACAACGCGATTCTCGGCCAGTTGTCGAAACGAATCATTCTCGGTTTCGTGGATAACAGAGCCTTTCATGGCGATCGCAAACTCAATCCTTCCAATTTTGCGCACTACAACATCAATTATCTGTCTCTGTATGTGGACGGCATTCAAGTATCGTCGAAACCTCTACAGCCGGATTTCACCAAGAATCGTTTATACGTGGACGCGTACCACACGCTGTTTTCTGGTACCGGTATGCATTTTCTCGATCAAGGTAATTGCATCGATCGGGAAAAATAACCCGATGGCTATTGCCTCTTTACCTTTGATATGACACCTGCTCTCTCGGCCAATGAGAACTACCATTGGAATCATATCATGCACGGTAGCGTAAGAATCGAGGTGCCATTCGAGAACACTCTGTCGTCGACGGTAAATTGCATCATTTATGCTGTGTACGAGAATGTTCTGGAGATAGACGCATCGCGCCACGTTCTGGGAGATTTGAACGACTAAGCAAAGTGAGAAAGGTGGGGGAAGACAACGCATTTTTTTTCATAAAGTCTACGCGGACATCACGGTGGGTGGTCGCACAGTCTCTCGAGCGACTTTGCTAACCATGCACCACGTAATCGACATCCAAGGTTTCCTCGACATCGAGGAACTCTTCATCCCGTAGGAAGTAGCCGTGGTCGCTGTTCATAGTGAGTTTATCGCGCGTTGGATCGTCGCACCGCCCTACCCCTTCAACTATCTACCGCCTCGCCCTCGCTCGCAAAACAATTGGCTGAGCATACATCATCACGGGATATAGTGGTTCGACGGGGATATATCGGCCAAAAAGTTGTACGAGAATCTACAAGCCATCACGTATCATACCGGCCAAATATTCGCGTGTGGGCGCGAGAAGGCTAATCCCCTGCGCAACATTATGAACCGGGAGATCGTCTATATGGAGGACTCGGAGGAATGCCCCGCGTTCAAAGTGTCCCTCAAGCCGGCGATCAATGCGTATACCACGGTATACGCAAAGCTGACAAGCATTTTTCGTGCTCGCTAAACAACGCGAAGCGAATACGCGAGTGGCTGGTGCGTCAAAGGGATCCTTTCGAAACCGACTGTCATCCGAGCTGTGCCGTTTGCACCACCACCACGATGTCGGCGGATACCGTCCTCCAGGACTATGAGCGCAAACCTACCGCGATAGGTAACGAAGGGGTGGACGAGCCAGACGGCGACGGTAGATGCGCTACTTCGTGAACAACGAGGACTGCTTATTATTGTTAAATTGAACGGAGGTAGAGGTACGAGCGTTATTCGAAAACTATCCGTCCGACGGTCAACAACGGTCGAACGAAAAAACGGATGGCCTGCCGATTCCGCTGCGTGCGCCCCATCCACGAACAACGTGGAAATTCGCGAGGCACTGAGTGTACTACCCTCCACGACTATCGGCGTGTATCCGGCCGACCAGATACCGAAGGTGTGGAACAAATCGGCATCTCTCGTGGTCAACACCGATGATCACACGAAACCCGGAACCCACTGGATCGCCATGCACGTCGGCAGAGACGTACGAGGATACTACTTCGACAGCTACGGACTACCGCCTATCGTGCCCCAACACTTGGAAAGACTCCGAAGAAATTCCCGATATTTCGATTGTAACGATAAGTTGCTTCAGAGTGAGACTTCCGACGGTTGCGGGCAATTCATCGTGGTATTTCTTCATATTATGTCTAGCGGTTGTAGCCTACATCGCTTTCAGCGTTTACTCACGCGGGATACTGTAAATAACGATAAGATAGCTCGCGAATACGCCGCGTACGTAGCGAGTGGAAAGCAACGACATAGCGGTTTTGTTAATCGCGTTAGTTATCATCAATGTAGTCAGGGGTGCTGTTCTAAACGCAAACGATGACAGTAAATATATTAATGTATTCCTGAAGTACCTCCGTTTATTCTAAATGAAATTGAAAATGGATGTATGGTCATAATTTGCTGATATTTATTTAAAAAAAAAAAAAGAGTCCAACCTTTGTCGTTCCCGAATATATTTCTCAGCTGCGCAGAACGTCCACGAACTTATCCTTGCGCATGGAACACGCCGTCAGCTCGATTTTTTTTTTGGCTTTGCGCGTGTCACCGATGAAGTTCAACCGAAACTGTAAGTATCGGTTAATCGCCGTTGCATCGAATCATCCGCAGAAGAAGAAGAAAGACGGGTACCGAGCTCTTGTCCTTGGACGTTTGTCTCCGCAACATTGCAATTTTGTTGAAACCCTACCGCTGAATCGCGTTTTTTTTTTTTTTTTTTAATTTAGCGTCGTTCTCGAGACATCTGGGGGTAAACCTCGCGAGGTCATTTTTGAATTCATCTATTCCGCGTGTGCAATCTCCATGGCAACGGACTTTGGACGAATAGCATAAATCGACGCGTACGCAGTATTCTACGGATACTATAAATACCGAGAAAGCACCCCGCGTTCTTCATCATTCGACAGTTAGACGTCGGGTTAAACGGTGGAAAGTAAGTAAACGACGACGACGACGACGACCACGATGAGTCATTCATCTCGAGACGAGTAAGTGCTGTCGAGCTTTTACGGCTTGAATTTTTCGTACTTCAAATTCATACCAGTCGGACTGCGGCGGACTACCCTGGACAACGATAGAAAGGACGTCTTCATGGCGACGGTTCAGCTAGGAAATTTCAGCGGCCTACACGGAGTGACTTTCGGCGTCGAGGAGTGGCGACGACTACTGGAGAACTTTGAGAAAATCACCGCGTACCTGGATTCCGACGACTACCAATCGCTTGAGCAGCCAATGCTCACGGAAAAGCAGACGGCGCTGCTGACTGTCTGCATGGACGGTAAGGCTGTCATCTTCGATAAACGAATGACGAAGGCATCGGCAGAGCATGGACCTAGCAACGCTAGTGAACCACCAAAGAAAAACCGCAAACACTACGAATCTACCGTCATTCTGAAGAAACACACATTCGACGGATTAAAGAGCATTCGGTTTGTCGTAGATCTTCGACTCCGTTACCTCGAACAGCTCGTCGATGCCGTCAACGCGTGTTGGACCGTAATGCGAGGTAACTCCGGCCAAGGACGCTAACAACTACGAGACATCGTCATCTGGGCCGAGGAACTCAAGAAACACAAAATATGCTAACATCCGTTTTTCGTCGAAACTGTATTCGAGGAACTCTATACTCTTATGTAAATATTTGTCGGTTGAAACAGAAATAATAAATATCAACTTAATCATTATTACGACGATATCCTTCATTTCGCCTTAATAAACCTATCCTGGGCGTGCCACATTATGGGGCAGCGTACTCATAATCAGCTACTACAGCGTAAAACGGGCGAGTCGGCCATCTTTGCATTCGGATGATAAGACGCTCGCGTAGCCCTCCTACTTCGTAATGGCCGCTCTCGCTAGCGGTGATATGCGGGTCCTTAAATCGCCTCCGACTCTCATTCTTGCATAAGACGCTCGCGTACGACTGACCCTCCTACTTTATAATGGCCGTTCTTACTACGGAGGAATTTCATTCAGGTGATAAGTCACTCGCGTACGCACACACCTCCTATTTCGTAATGGCCACCCTCGCTATCGGCAACACACGTGCCTTTTTGGAATGGCCACTCTCGCTATCAGCGATACGCGGGGCCCTATACATGTCTCTTTCTCTCTAGCGAGACTCTCTCACTCTTTCGCGTCTCGCGCTCTAGCGTCCCTCCACCACTCTCGGCATTATGGTAGATGAGAGGAGTGGGAGTACGTGACGTAGCACCCTATACACCCGTCTCTCTCGGGAGATAATCATTCTCTCTCATACGCGGCTCGCGCTCCAGCATACCCCCTATACCGTCCTATACATCTCTCTCTCTCTCTCTCCCTCTCTCTCTCATTCGCGACTCGCGCTCTAGCGTATCCCCACCACTCTCGGCACTATGGTAGATGAAAGGAGTGGGGGGTACGTGACGTAGCGTGACAACACAGGCTGACTCGGCGCCGGTCATTTGTTTAGTCTACTCATAGTGGCTCCTATACTATTACTTGTACTAATACTAATAATGAAAATAATTAATGCAAATAAGATAGAGAATTATTTCTTCTAGTTGCCAAAAGAGGATGAAATATTGCCGCAAAAGTTACGAGAAGAAACACGGGCTCTATTTTTGCAAAGACGTTCAAGGCAGTTACTTGATAACAATGAATTGAGAGCATTATGGGTACTATTGGATAAGAACTATAGTTTACCAATATCTAACGATGAACAACTCATTAATTACGAGGATTTTAAAAAAGTCGGGAGATTAGCCGGCACCAAATGTGCATCATATTTTACTGCTGTTGTCTTTGCTAAACTACAACAGGGTGATTCTCATGGAAGGATCAGTATTATGGCACTGTTTAATTATGTGATGCGAAAAGTATGGTTGCATCAAACACGGATTGGGTTATCATTGTATGACGTTACTGGACAGGGTTATTTGCGAGAGTCGGTAAGTGATTGATAGCCCTGTAGTTCATAATTTTCATCGTGATTACTACATTTTGCGACCCCTTTCCAGATCCGCCGGCTCGGTCAGACCGATCGCGCGGGCGGCCAACTTCTGCCCGGGCCACGCTATCGCGCCGGGACCGTCAAAATACCTGGGACGGGATTGCAGGGGGATCGGGTCCGTCAAAATTGTTGAGCGCCAAGCACGCCGACGTGTCAATTGTCCTGGTACGGCATGCAACGCTTACCCGAGAACGTCGAAATCCCGGACTACCACTAGCCCGACTTCTCCCCGGCAATCCCGGCCTCCAACCTAACTTTACAAAATGCACTCGACTAACCCAGATAAGTCTGGTACGACCGCGGAGAGAGGGTTTTTTTTTCTAAACGCCGGACTAAAGAGGGAACGAGAGAAAGAAAGAAAACTAAACCATTATGAGACAGCTTTATCACCCGTCTCGACAAGGTACAAGAATACAATCACAAGAAATTTACATTTTTAGAAAGCCGAGAATAAACAACGAAATTACACTGAAACTACACTTTCCGATCAGAAAGCAATACGCGACAAAAGAATTCAGACTCAAGCAAAATAATTGCCTAACGCAAATTGACCAAGGTAATTCAAATGGACGCTAACTCAATCGAAACGTCAAATAACAAAGATAATGCAAGTTAACTAATTAACACAAAAGACAACTCCGTACTATACGAAACGTGGAAATACTAAAATCGATTCATTCGCGAAATATAGCGGCGCAATTACTAACGAAAAGGTAGTCCGACGTCCTAACGACTTTTACACAACGTTCCAGATTTTCGAAAATAATTCTACTTTACGAGATAGCAACTTCGCACTATCACTAATAACTCTAATATACTTTATACGAGGTAGCTGCTCGCACGGAACATGTGGGCCTACCGGACGCACCGTCCCACAAGGCTCTTGGACCGCGTACCTCGTGTAAGAAAGGTGCGAATGGTTCTCAGACAGCCTAATGTGTTCCTAAAATTTTCCTAAAACATTAACGGCGACTGTCCCGACAACAAGATAACAAGACGCGCACGGTCAGAACTGTCAACTAAATCGCGATCACTCAAATAAATTATTCCCGGGAGACAATAGGTAGCTTCGCGTTTTACTCGACGATCTGGCGATCTAGGTAGCTCTACTCACAGTAGAGATTCACCCAAGATATTCAAGATAACCAACAAATCTCCGATGAATAATTCCACTCAAAAATTTACAATATGGTTCCACTCAAAATTCACTCAAGGATTCCATTAAGAATTCTACTTGAAGATACGCTACATTTCGGCTTGACTTGCTTTGCCGCTCTAATTCGGAAATATACAATATCAAATCTGCGAAATTAAATCGGAAAGTAGCTAAATCCCGGTTAGGATCCAAACCTCGCACCGGAACGTCGTCGACGGCCTCCCTTGTTGTTGGTGCTGATCGCTTCCTCGACTTCCTCTAAGGCAGCTTTGGCACAAGTACTCAGATAGCGCAACTTTTACTCAGGCAGCCAAAATCTCTGCACACATTTAGGTAGCTCGGTGATCCAGATCGAAGAGAGCGAGCATCCTCGAGCTCCTTGGATCCGAAATTTCCCTTCCACCGGGCCCAAACTGGTTTTCGGCGGCCGATTCGCCGAATTTCTTGATCCTCCTCGAATGTGTGCTCTTCAATCGGTGCCGGCCAATCCTAACGCGTCGAGCCTTGCCGAATTCGTGCCGCACTCGTCCTCCAGGACCGTATTTTCTGATCGTGGCAGCAGGTCCGAAAATTTTCTCTCCTCGAGGATGTCCCTGCACGGTCGCATTCACGCCTGTCGTCCCAAGCGGAGAAGTCGGGGAATCCATCGTCGCGAGCGAAATTCTCATCCCTGCGACGAGAGGTGGCTGAGGCCTCCCTCGCCTCCCCTGACCATCCTCGGTCGACAAGACGCCCACATACCTCCCTCCGCGTATAACGTGGGATCTAGCATGCACTTGATGCGGAATCTGTCATTTCCACTCCGATTTGAAGTCCAGCTCAGGCTGGGAAGTGGAGGGCCCCACGGCAGCATACTCGGCCCTGGACCTCGAGAGCTCCGCAGCTCCTCCTCTCGGTGTTGCCTGTCTCTCCGTCCCGCTGGCTCTTTGTGGTTCTTCTTACACAAAGTTCTCTTCACCGCTCCGTTGTTTACTTTTGGACCGTTGATTCCCCGTCGGTTTGAATCTAACGACGCAACTATACTACACAATAACTAACTAAATCTCGAAATAAAGCGCAATAGACAATGTCGTCCTCTCTCTCAAATTTCTAGAAGACAGCCGGACTCGCAACAAATGTATAACAGACATTTGACAATTGCAGTACAAAAGATAGCTAACCTGAGTCGTAAAGATAACAACTGAAAACGCAAGATAGCAATCGCTATTAATTCTGAAAACAATTACTGAATATTCCTCACATATTTCTTCCCATCGGCACGAGGTCTGATCACCGAGCTAGCCACTCAAAATTATCAAAAGATAGCAAAACTATTGACCTTGTGACGCGTGCGCTAAAGTGCCACGTTACAATTTATAATGTTTATTTAATTATCAAATTAAGTATCACTCGTATAACTCTATGTAATGAAGAATTCTTATTTGACAGATTGGTAGTGTAACCTTCCAACAAATACAAAAGGGTGGATTATAATAAAAGTAACATAGTATACTATGACTACGTCACCATCGTCCTCGAAATCCGGGATTTATCGGGTCTAAACCCAGTAAATCCGAATTTACATATCGATGGAGACGTTGTTCATGTAACGTAGGGGGTTCGATTCCCCCCCCCCCCCTCTTACGGGGATTCAGGTCTATCGGAGTATGGGCACTGCACTCCGATTCGAACACGTAATAAGACGGAGGAGCTCCTCCGAATATCTGCAGTCTATCATTAGGTGCATTCAGAGAAGACAACTGGTGAGTGATCGGTTAGTGCTCATCTGCCGAATGGGTACGTTTACTCAACATGTTTACTGATCAGACCATTCTGATCGGCATTTACAGCAGAAAATCGCAACATGTTCCCAACTCATCGGTAACCGCTTTTCTCCTCTGAATGCACCCATTGTCACCAGTACATTAGAATATTTGTTCCATATGCGCTACACATCTAATATTAGCCAGGTCGACTCCTGATGGGAGAAATGGTGTATCTCCCGGTTTATCTTTCTCCGTCGAGCTTTCGTCTCGTGCACATCTATAGATTTTGGGTACCCGATGAGGAGGATTAATGCTTGCATTAGAGACGCGAATAGTATGGAAAATAAGGTTACCTGGCGTGCATTCAAGTCGGGATGGACGGTCTTGGACTTCAACCTTTAGAGGCCTCCGGGGATCGGATGGTGGACCACTCGACGGGAACCGACACGGAGTCGACCCGAATAAGGAACAACCAGTAAAGAGGAAGAGCCAGTGATAGCTGTTGCACGTGGGGTCTCCCAGTCATCGCTGTATAACTATCACCGATCCCGAGGATTGGGTAAACCGAGTGACGTGTGAAGGCTCTCACGGTGGGCATATGAATGTCTGGGAGCAACACCACCTAGATACAAGGCCTGACAACTACAGGATTCCGCAACGCCTACGTCATCACGAGTAGTCATATCGTGCCGCGGCGCCATTAGAGTATACATCCTGTTATGTTTGGTTATTTTCGAAAAAAAAAACGAACGTTCGAAGCACTAAATGAGGCTAATGTCAGCAGTGTAGAAACTTTTAAAAATTACATTGTTGAACATTCATATAGTGACTTCAACGAGCTATGTGCAAAATTACATGGAAAGTGCGTTAACCTGTAGTGGACAGTGATTACCAGGGAGAAGTGCATTAATATAATATTAATCAAAGACAATCCATGTCCAAGAGTGCAGTGTTCTGTGCAAATTAGTGAAAACTTATTGTTGACTGCATATTCTGGTAGTATCCAGGTGAAATCGCTGTCGGGTACAGTGTTACCGATGAAGGTAAGTACTTTAAATGAAATTGAAAATATTGTTACAAAGTGCCACACAACATTTTCAAACTATGAATTTAGTGATTCAACCGCACAAGACTGCACTGACATTATACTAAACTGTTTAGATTATTTAGAAAAGATACTTCCGGAAAATGAAACAGTCATCGAATTTTTGAAGGAACAAATTTCTTTACTAAATGTGTGCCAAACTAGAGCAAGATATTCGCCAGATTTTATAATATTTTGTAGTTTATTGTATTCAACATCTCCACATGCATACAGATTTTTTAGAGGTTCGAATAATTCAAAATTACCTAGCCCTTCTACCATTAAACTTCTATGTAGTAAGTTCATGACTAACCCTAAGTATGAACTCACTGAACACGAAACATAATAGTTACGTAACTTAAAACGAACAAATAACATAACGTTTGTTACAATGTAATAACCTAACGGTTACGTAACATAGAGCTAACTAGTTACATGACATTTGTTACAGTGCAATAACTTAACAGTTATATAACCTAGAGCTAACAGGTTACATAACATTTTATGTATTAACTATCATATCTATATAAATGTATCATAACTTTGTTACTTTCATCTTACATTATGTTACCGTCTTGATATTACTATGTATATGCAGCACATATTTGTAACAAAATGGAACTACATTGGGGCTGTCATTTATTTTATTACATCATCGTCATCGTCATTGTCATAATTCATCGTCAAATGTCACAAGATTAATATATGTCATATTTTGTTTACTACTCGTATGAAAAAATGTGTCTTTAATTCATACGCGCATGTACATTATGGGTCATTGTTTGCTAGTCGAATGAAATCCTAATTGCCTTTAAGTAAAATCAGATAGTTTATCATTACATAATTTCATTGAAAGTCTGATTTGTCATTTAATATCTAACTGTTGTCAAGTACCAAAAAATAATTAAAAATAAAAAATTATATAATTTTTGATAAAATTGCGTGATCGTTTT